TCAATGCATATTTTTGCCGAGTAGTGACTTAAATTAACAGTGATTAATGTATTATTCACTAAACTAATGTCATCCAAAACTATAGTGATTTATAAACGTTTTTATCATTTTTATGATTTCGTAATGCTAAAATGGGGTTTTTGGAGTTCTTTATTTCCAAATTACCAGTGACACTTGAATAGTTGAAATCCACAAAACAAGATGGTTAGAAGTCTACTCAATATCTTATTTGAAAACCTTGGAGTGAAACTAGAGAAATCAAGATTGGAGTCACTAAATTAATTAATAAATTTAAAGATAGTGCACATGAACTACTTGATAGAGCTGAACGACAGACCTCTTTCTTAGAGCTGAACGACATATGAGCAATAAGATGGTATAGAAGGTCACATATTTCAGGATGATTTGGAAAAGGTCATGAAGGTGATAAATCACTTAATCCAATTTTTTACAAACAGTTTACATGGGTGAATCAGGAACTCAACTGTAACTCTCTCACTGTTTAGTTTAATCACTATTGCATACTCTTACTGTAACCGTTGATCATAATTAAACTGATGTAGGCACATGTGCAAATTGCAATACAGTGTAACAAATTTGGAATTAATAATGACAAATAGCTAGTGAATAAACCAGGACAGGCCTGCAGGGGATATCCCCTTTATATTGATTCATTTAAAAGTTATATTACATAAAAAGAGGGATACATACACTAAATAAAAACGCGCACTTAAAATTTGCCACCAGATTGTAATAAATTGCATTGAGCTCCGATCCAATTTGCTGGTCTCTTTGATCTTTAGAGGTTTGCAGTGTTTCGTTCTCAGGCTTCTTGTTATTATCACTTTTTGGTAGAGCTGCTGATGGTATCGTGTGACAACATTTGCGCGTTCCACTTCCTCCTCACCCAAATTTCCATCTTTGCACAAGTGAGTCCTTCATGGCACAATGCCAGTTTCGAGGCATTCTTGTGCGCCCATTTGTGTCTCTTGTAACTCTATATTGAGAGGCTCATAATTGGATGTCTTCGGGCAGAGTTGAAAAGGATGCTAAAGTCCTCAACATTGTGGCCAGCGACGAGTCTGATTTCACTTTCCTCATTGTCGCAGCTTCATTCAATTCCTTCAACGGAGTGGTTGGCGCGGTCATGGTCGACAAGGATGGCGACTGTCTAACCAGCCTCAACTTCTATAACAAACTCTTGTTTCCCTCCGCAGCTTCAACTTCAGCTTTAGTTTTAGTCATCAAATCATGAAAACCAGCTCCTAAAGATCCCCCAAACATACCCGAATCCACACCGATGACTCCCTCGTCATAAATTGTGTGGATTAGTCCTCTCACTATCTGCGAAGGATACCTTGAAAAACCAAAAAAAATAATAATAATAATTGTTGCTAATTATTTGGTCTTGCTGTCAATGACTAGCCATAGAAGACTCCAACTCTTGGATATCATTTGACCATTTGGCATCAACTCACGAATATAATACGAATTGTTGGATATCTGATCGGCAGCATTAAACGGTGATGAGAATCAACATAGTCGGAATTTCTCATTTTCCCTTTAAAGGATCAAATCGTATATTCCTCTCTTAAAGGGTCAAACTCTGTTCACGGGAATCATATTTCTTCAGAACACAGTTTCTTTCTAAATTCAAAAAGGGAAAGTTTATTGTTGGAAGGGACAACTTTTCTTCTTATTGTTTTAGCTAGGGTATAAATTTTCTTCTTAAGACCTCTTTTTTTAGGCTAATTTTCTTGGGAATGTTAAAGCTTTGTTTGTTTCCTTTTCTTGATGGTATTTTCAGATTAATATATTAATAACTGCCCCATCCCAGCATACCTTTTTACATTTTCAATACACCTTTTTACATTCCCAATACAAAAAACACCTAAAAATACACACTAAAAAAACAAAACAAACAAATTAACCGTTAGTTTCTGACGAGTCATAGATTAAACCCTAACCCTAATGGGTTTGGGCCGGCTATCTTGGAAGTTAAGTCACCGACTAAACCTAATTCGACTAGGTTTAGGGAAACAGATAACACCACCTCTATATAAAGAGGTGGTGCCTCCCTCATAATTGATATCTGATACACGTATCTTCTACCTCTCTCCTTGTTCTTTCTATCCCTTTATTGACTTAAGCATCAGAGAGTCTACTCTCATGAGACACCCGAGGCTCTATCTTGCAGGTTTTAGACCGTCTGCCACCGCCTAGATCATCATCGCCGCCCATCCTAAGGCACCATACAAATCTAAGCTTCGTCAAGTGGCACGCCCGGTGGGACCGATTTGTTTGGTCTTCACAACCAAATTTCTTGAAGCGAAGTTGGAATTTTTTGGTGCTTTACATTGCGCAATGTCACCAGCATCATGGCGCAAGAAAAACAACGAACACCTGCTACTGCAGCTGAAAAAGATAAACAGGCGACTCCAACGGGACCACCCCTAACAGGCCGTCTAGTGGTTTGTTGGATCAAAACCTCATGGAGGCTTTTTTCAAATCTCAACTTACCCTGTTAAACAAGTTCCAAGAATTTGTGAAGAGTTTTCATGAACTCGACAGTAACCAGCGACAGCTTCAAATCTCAACCTACCCTGTTAAACAAGTTCCAAGAATTTGTGAAGAGTTTTCATGAACTCGACAGTAACCAGCGACAGCTCGTGGTTGACAATCTCGGTACCTTCTCGAGAGAGGGCGAGCCAAACCCTAGGGGCATCTCTCGAGGATATCACCTTGTAACTCGAGAAGAAACTCGTCCCCCTCGAGTGAACGTACCTCCACCTCGAGTACCTTCAACCATCGAGGAGCAATTACGCAAGATTCTCGGATCTGAAGGAGACGAGGAGGGAGACAATAGTCCATTCATCCAACGTATCCGAGAAACACCCATGCCCGAGAAGTTCGAACTTCCAGATTTGAAGTTTTATGGAGGAGATACCGACCCCATGGTGTTCTTGCAAGTCTATAAGAGTGTTATGAGGTTGAGGAATGCCTCCAATGATTTCATGTGCAAGGCGTTCCCAACCTATCTCACGGGTCAAGCACAACTCTGGTTCAGAACCTTGTCTCCGGGAAGTATACGGACGTTTCATGAGCTGGGAACTTTGTTTCACACAAGGTTCTTCCAAGGAAAGAAGATTCGTAAGACGATTACCAAGCTAATGTCCCTCAAGCAAGATCGAGAAGAATCTATTGGGGCTTACTATAGCCGCTTCATCAAAGAACAACTTCAAGTCGAAGGAATATCTAAAGAGACGATTGTTGCAACTTTCACTAATGGTCTTTATCCATATGGGGCATCTGCTACTTTGCGACAACAGCTGACAAAAGAGCCGCCACAAACATTGCAACAACTCTTCTCCGTGGTCAAAACTGAAGTTCGCGCAGTAGAAGATTTACGTCGAGCACGAGAAAGCTTATACCCTTATGAGAAGAGGTCGCTCGAGTACAAAGCGAAAGGCCTAGGGGCAGATCGTGACCGAGAACTAGACCGCAATCGAGATCAAGAACACAATCGCGATCGAGAAAGAGGCCATGACCGAGCAAAACGAACGGCAGATGCTTATACACCTTTAACTCGTCCTCGAGCTGAAATCCTAGAGGTCCATAAGCATGAGTTGAAAGTACCACGTCCCGTGTCAACATATCCAAGTAAGCGCCCGAAACACTTATGGTGTTCTTTCCATAAAGATCATGGGCATGATACCGAGAATTGCCACGAATTAAATGAGCAAATCGAGGAAGGGCTTGAGAAAGGAAAATTCTGAGAATATGTGACTAATCAAGACAACCCCTCGAGGGAAATTCCAGGTAAGCCTCACGTTTCACACAAGATACCATAAGGACTCCTCGAGGTTCCCTCCAACAAGTATGCCTCTTGCTTTCATATTCTGTTTAATAATTTAGCACATTGATGCTTGATTTAGAATATTGCTAAGGATCTTTTATTATTAAGCTTTGACTTATCTTCAATAAATATATTATTATATTACCTCTTTCGAGCTAAATTGTATATCAACGAAAGACCTGCTAGTCGGGCACCGGGTTTAAATAAGACCTGCTAGTCGGGCATGACCCACAAAGACCTGCTAGTCGGGCACCGGGTTTAAATAAGACCTGATAGTCGGGCACGACCCACAAAGACCTGCTAGTCGGGCAATGGCCAAATAAGACCTGCTAGTCGGGCAAAGCCACAAGACCTACACGACAGGCAACTACAGGATTCTCACCTTCAAATAAGAGAATCTAGCCGCCATCCTCCTAATTTGGCATAAACAGGCTTCCCCCTTCTAATAAGAAACTTACTAACACAAGACCTCCTCGAGGCATTTTACTCTCTCTATCTTGTATAGGTGACACCCAAGAATGAAAGAGTTCGAGAACTAGGAGCAACACCACGAAATTCGAGAAGACTCAACACTCATAGCAACCCATATCCTTCTCACCAAATCTCGAGAATATCGTTTGCTAGGGGCACTTGACGAGTCATAGATTAAACCCTAACCCTAATGGGTTTGGGCCGGCTATCTTGGAAGCTAAGTCACCGACTAAACCTAATTCGACTAGGTTTAGGGAAACAGGTAACACTACCTCTATATAAAGAGGTGGTGCCTCCCTCATAATTGATATCTGATACACGTATCTTCTACCTCTCTCCCTATTCTTTCTATTCCGTTATTGACTTAAGCATCGGAGAGTCTACCCTCGGGAGACACCCGAGACTCTGTCATGTAGGTTTTAGGCCGTCCGCCACCGTCTAGATTATCATCGCCGCCCATCCTAAGGCACCGTACAAATCCAAGCTTCGTCAGTTTCTCAATTGTCTTCGTATTGTTTATTGTGAAACACTATGAATATAAACGTAATACGTACATTAATTTATCCGGGATTTGAAAAGAAAAATGAAATGCAAATTAGGGGTTCAATTGACTGGTCACTGGCGAATTGGTCAAAGCTGGAATGCCACTTTTTGTTCAAATTTCAAAGTTTGTGTTCAGGGTCACGTCGCAAGCATTAACCAAAGAAAAACAACGAACTATCCCATTACTTTCTCCACCAATTTGGACTTTCCAACCATCCATCTAATCCACGGATGGTTACCATTATTTCACTTGGAGAATGAGGTTTGATGAAATAACATGTCTATTAAATCCTCGAAAACGTGACATAATACACTCAATAAAATTATACTCCCTCCTAGTCCATATTAAGTTTTGAATTTTGTACTGTTTTTAGTACAAATTTGAAAACTCAATGTAGACAATTGTTGTGGAACGGAGATAGTACAAAAGTACTCTTTCCGTCCCATTTTAATAACCTGCTTTTATGCTCCTATACGCACAAACTAGACAAACTTGAATCCAAAGTTCTAAAAAGGATCACTTAATGAATCAGAGGATATTTTAAGCTAGGAACCAAGTAGAGATCCTGTTGCCTTCTTAATGTAAATCCAGGGCCTTCAGTCATGTCAAGCTCTTCTGATTTCATCCCATTAGGCAAAACCCAATCAAAATGGTACAAGAACTTAGCAAGTGGCAGTTCCATATTTGCAACACCAAGATGCATCCCAGCACAGACTCTTCTTCCTCCACCAAATGGGATAAAATCAAAATTTAAAGAACTCTTGTAATCAATTGATGAATTCTCTTCCAGGAATCTTTCAGGTTGAAATGACTCTGCATCTTTCCAATAAGAAGGGTCTCTGTTTACAGCCCAAGCATTCACCGTGATGTGCGTATTCGCCGGGATTTCGTATCCGTTGATCACGCATCTTTCCTGGTTCAAGCGCGGGAGAAGCAGAGGTAGAGGTGGATGTACCCTCAGAGTTTCTTTTATGACGGATTTCATGTACCTGAGTTTATCGAAATCGCCTTCATCGACATATCCTTTAGGGCCGAAAACCTGTCTTACTTCTTCTTGAGCCTTTTTCATGATTTCTGGATTCTTCATCATCTCTGCCATTGCCCAATCTACTGTCCCAGATGTTGTCTCTGTTCCAGCTGTAAAAACATCCTAATAAACCAATTGCCAAAGTAAGAAAAAGGTCAATTCCTTTGGTACAAGAACATAATTGATAAAATGACAACAGTAACTTAAAGAACTTTTCCTAATACGTGGAATCGGCTATATGAATCATACGTCTCCGAATTAAATGTAAAGTGAAAATTCAAGCATCCACAATATGGCATGTTTAAGTAAGGCAGCGTATGAGATATTATTGAAGAAATTTAGGTAGATATTACTTACCACAATCATGCCTTTGATGTTTGCGATAGTTGGCGAAAATCCGAGGTTTTCCTGTTCGTGATACATCAATAGAACATCTAAAAGATCTTTCTGATCTTCGAGCTTGTTTTCTCCATCTTTAGTCCGGCGTTCTGTTCTGCGCTCATTGATCATGTTATCAAACATTCTGTCCAACTCCTTATGTGCGCTCTCCATTTTTGCTTTTATGCCGGTAACGGAATGAAGAAATTTCAGGGAAGGGTATAAATCAGCGACGTTGAAAGCTTCAGCCAGTCTGATAATTTCCTTAACAAGAGAAATGACAGTTTCTTGCTCTGCCCTTTTCTTACCAAAAGCTGCCCTGGAAATTGTACCATAAGTAAACGAATGAATCTTCTCTGTAAAATTTACCGGCGACCCTTCATTACCAGCAATCCATTTAACCGAATTCGTACTTTCTTCTTCCCTCAAATCTCGAAAAGATTGAACACGGCGAGCGCTGAAAAGCTCCGTCGTGCAAACTTTTCGCAGTTGTTTCCAGTATTCTCCATACGGAGCAAAACCCATGTTGGAACAATCATAAGTTACAGCAGCTAAGGCTTCGAATCGAGGCCTGGAAGCGAAATTGAGATCATGGGTTTTCATGACTTCTTTTACAGCTTCAGGGGAGGAAAAAACAATGGATGAAATTTCGCCCATCTGAATATGCATAATTGGACCATATTTCTTGGCTAAATCGCCTAAAACACGGTGTGGTAGTGAGCCAATAAGCTGATGCAGGTTTCCGATGAACGGTAGCTTCCATGGTCCTGGTGGAAGACGAGCAACAGTTGAGTTTTTGGTGGTGAATCTAGTTCTGATCAGTTTCAGAAGGAAAAAGATGATGAAGAAGAACAAGGTTAGAAATAGAGGAGCTACATTAACTTCCATGTCTGAGTTCTACAAGATCATTTCGTTGAAATTGATTTAAATAGCACTCCGGCCGTATTGGATGACTGATGGATTAATCAACAATTAATCTTTGGTCAGGAGTGGCACTTTTTTCAATTAAAAAGTAGACGAAGGATTGAAAATTGATGCAGTCAACAGTTGAATGTGATGGATTTTCTACGACTGAATGAAACCATAGAAAAGTCAACGGCTCAAGAGATTGGTTCGGTCCACGGTATAATAGTCTCCAGTGGACTTTTGAATTTTCATTTTTTTGCTTTTTAAGCCACGCCTAATGGTACTTAGAAAATACATAGAACATTACAACTAGAAGAAACCTGCTGGGCAGGGTTAATACTACTATGGGTACTCCATTCGATCGAGTGTGCCTCTTGATCTGATTGTCCGGTACTCCAAGGTCAAATCACCTATCGGCTTAACAAGACTATCAAAATCAGTTATCTATTTCGTTCTTCAACTATTGATTCTCATGACTGTGGTAAGATCAAATTCTTAAACTCACGGTTAAAGATATAATGCCCAAACCAAGTTACCTCGATAATGATTTTGGTCATGGGTATTGTAGTAGGGAGTTGCGGTCTTTGGTTTTTTATATTAAGATATTCTCTCAATTCCAAACTAATTATCCAGTTTGAGTTTTTATTTGTAATGTAGTAATATTTCATGTTAATGTCAACTTTAACATATTGTATTTATTTTGCTTCAATTAGCAGAAAATATTTGTGATTGGTATTAAATATATACATATATATATAATAAATACTCCATCCGTCTTAAAATTATTATCCAGATTGATATTTTACTTTTAATATAATTTGAACTAAAAATAAAAATTCAACTGTACAATAATTTTAAGACGTAGTGAGTAGTGAAATACAATGTGAATTTTTTGTGATAGAAAGAGTATAACTAAATGGCTATTAAAATGAGAGGAGAAAGTATGTATTGAGTGTGATTTTGGCCATTAAGCTTTCTAATAAAGTCGCTCATAGCTCTACTTCCGTCATCCGTCATGCCATTCAAACTTCAATGCGTACATTTTCTAGGAAGTACAGTGATAGACAAACGTAATCTCTAAAAATTACCCTTTCTAAACTCCCTAATACAAAAGTAAACTATTCATTTTCACCCCTACTGTTCCTTCAATATTAGTAAAGATATATATAGTGTTGGGCCAGTTTTTCGCAGCTGGGGATCGAAGTCGGGTCGCAACGGTGCAAAGTAATGGGCCATAGACGAAAAGCTTTATGCGGCCAATTCGGTTGAAAAGAAAGAAGCCTAATTAGATTTGAAAAAGGATTTGTAGACCGACATAGTTTGTAAAAGTCTATTTAAAGGGTTCGGTGGTAGGAGGAAAAATACAATCAAAATAAGAATCAAATTATTTTTTTTCAATTTTAGTCTTTTATTTCCGATTTTCTCTCTAGAGCTAGGGTTCTTCGAGAACTTTTCGAATTAGGCCGATTAATTATCGGCGGGTATATTTATTCTTTAAAGATTATAATAAAATCTAGCCTTCGACCGATTCTTATTTTCTGAGATTTCTCGTATTCAATTTATTAAGCACAAGTTATTAAAAATAACGCACAATCGTTTGAGAAATATATTACGTAATTCTTGTAGGACGAAAATTGTGCAAACATATAGCAACAAAATAAAAGAAATTACAAGCAACAAAATAAAAAGAAAAGAAATTAAGAAGTCTCCGTTTACCTCCCAGTCCACACGGTTTATATACTTCCAAAGTCCGAAAGTTTTTAATAATTTTAATCGTGGAACATCAGTTGCTAGGAAATTAAAATCCTAAAACTCCTACACTCAAAAATAGTTTACCATAAAAATCAATATTAAAAGATGATAATTAAATGAAATATAAATTTAAAGTCTACGGTTTTCTAAAAAGACCTAAAACAACATATATCCGGCATACCTCAATTAATTAATTTAAGGAGCTGGCAGATTTATAATAATGAAAAAAAAAAAGTAAAAATGAATAAAGCATTTGTCAAAGAACCTGTGAAGTCAAGGATTTAATTATGTCAAAAGCAATTCTATTTCCGACGGTTAAAATGATGAATTGATCGAATCTACAATTCTTTCATGACTAATTTTGAAAATGCAATGTTTGTACTAGTATTTCGTATCAAAGACATGGCAAAAACATTTGAACCGCTCTATTATCAAATTATGAGCTCTCTAGCGTCTAAGAATTGTTGAGAAGTTATATGCTTCGAGTAATTTTTTAAAGTAAAATATAAAGATAAATAGTACTCCCAACAACTCTACCAAGTTGCATAAACTCGTTAACGATGTACATAAGCAAAAGTAAAGTCTTTTGCGTGATCAGATTATTCAGTTTAATTCTAAGATTATGTTTCATTGGCCTCGTTGTGAAACCCTGATGGCTGTCGACATATAAAAATACTTCGGGTTTGTTTGGTTGCTTGTATAGTTAACATTCTTGAGATTTTAATTCTGAGAAAAATTAATATTTTATTTTATTTTTTGATTCTTGGGAATATGATTCTGAAGAATCTAAATACTTTCCTATGTTTGTTTAAATATTTAGAAAATATGCTTGAAAATGAGAATTTCTTTTCTTCTCGCTTATGTTCCAACATGCCCGTTTTGAAATTCGTTCAAACTCTAACTATACGAAAAATATTGACTATATGTGTGTGTATGTGTATAATTATAAATTTATAGTCTAACAAAATTCATATAATCTTGAGCTAGATGAACCAAGTTGAAATTTTATTGAATATGATCTGCCTAAATTTTGACTGTTATATTTATTTAACATTGTCATTTTAATACTACAAGTTATTTAATGAAACTTGATTTTTTTTTGGTTAAATAGAAATATTACAAGTTATTCATTTTTTTTCTTTTTAAAAAAGTTATTTTGATAAATCGTCTAGTTTTATGTGACTCAATCAAATATTTCTTTTTTGGTGAAAGGTTAAAATTATATTAACTTCTCATCACAGATCAACGTTTACATCAGTCATGTTTCTATACATTCACTCAGCTCAAAATACATATCCTGTGCAAATACCTCTCTTCCACTTTCTTATACTTTTTACAATACACTCTACCCCTCCAAATCATTTCCTGTTGATCAACTATTACATTTACAGCCAAACACTACATTTACAGCCAAACATTGTCCCCATGGTAAACTCTATTGCGCAGCTTCCACAAGTGATACATTGCGGCAACCAGAACACCAAACAAAACCATTTGCTTACTCTTGCACTGCTTCCAAGTATTCAAGAACCTTGTCTTCCATCTTGAGATGCAATCAGGTACAGTCCTGCATTCTAGCCAATTCTTCAAAGACTGCAACACCTGTTGAGAGAATTGGCACTTAAAGAATAAGTGATCTAAGGTCTCTAGTTCAACTGCACAAAGGACACACTTCAAAGGTTCACTAATAATTCCCATTTTTAGCATCCTCTTTGAAGTTAACAGCCTTCCTCTCATGGTAAGCCACATGATAAAACTATGCTTAGGAACATTAGACTTGTTCCATATCAACATAGCTTCCCGCATTTTCTTCCTTGGTCTTCTAAACCACTCATATCCAGTTCTTGCAGAATATTTGCCATTGCTGGCTGCTTTCCACTTCCTCCTACAACCCCATCATTCATTTTGTCCTTAATAGTCATTAGTTTTCTCCAATACCAACAGGTCCCCAGCCTTGGTTTATAGTCCCAGATACTCTTTCCCTTCAGATAGTATTCGTGACACCATTTGACCTAAAGATTATCTTTTTTGGTAGCTAGATCCCATACTTGCTTCTCTAACACTGCCTGATTCCAGATCTCAGGTTCTTTAAAATTCAATACCCCACATTTCTTTGGTCTACATAGGTCATCCTAGGCAACCAAAGCAAATGCCCTACCACTTTCTTTTTTGCTCCATAAGAAATCCCTACACACCCTTACTACTTGAGTGATAATACTTTTAGGCAGAATAAAAACGAAAGCCCAATATGTGTGCATAGCAAGCAATACAAAATTAACTAACACCACTCTTCCTGCATAGGATAAGTGGCGTGTTGTCCAACATTTTAACCTTGCAGTCACTTTATCCACCAATACTTGACAATCAACGTCTTTCCATTTATTTGGGGATATAGGGATCCCTAAATATTTCATCGGAAAGGTCCCATTACTAAATCATGTAGTCTTCTGAATTTCATCTCTCAATTCCTTGTTAACTCCCCCACAGTAAACATTCGACTTCTTTAAATTGGCCTTTAAACCTGATGTAGCATAAAACTCATCCAAAACCTTCTTTATTCTTTTAACAGTCCCTAGGTCAGCTTTGCACAAGATGATTAAGTCATCAGCAAAACAAAGGTTCGTAATCTACAACCTCTTACACTTGGGATGATAATAGAAACCTCCCAGTTCTACTTCAAACTTAATCATCCTACTCAAATATTCCATACAAAGCACAAATACTAAAGGGGAAACTAGGATCCCCTTGTCTAAGTCCCCGTTTACCCTCAAAATAACCTGTTAGACCACCATTCATACATAGAGAGAAACTGCAGGTAGACATGCATTCTTTTATCCAACTGATAAACTTACCAGGGAAATTATACGCTTAAGCACGTCTTCTACAAACTGCCAGGCAATGGAATCATATGCCTTCTGTAAATCTACCTTCATAAGGCATCTGGGGGACGCGTTTTTCCTGTTATACAGCATCAACATTTCCTGTGTCAACAAAATATTGTGAATAATAATTCTGTCCTTTATAAAAGCTCCCTGACTTTGATCTACCAGACTCGGCAATATTTTGGACAGCCTTTTACTCAAAATCTTGGTAATACACTTGTACAGTGTATTACAACAAGAAATCAGCCTGTATTCTGCTGTTGATTGTGGGGATTCCACTTTAGGAATCAATGATATCACCGTTGCATTCACCTGCTTTAGAAGCTTCCCAGAACAAAAGAATTCCACTATCGCTTCACAAGTACTCTTCCCAACCACCTCTCACGTTTTCTTATAAAATCCACTGTTGAACCCATCAGGACCCGGACTTTTCAAATCATCAATTGAGAACATGGCCATCTTAATTTCTGCCTCTATAACTTTCTTGATTAGTTGCATCTGATCCTCTACTGTCAGAAGAGGCCCCATATCAGATACCTCCTGTCTAACAGGAACTGTACTCACTTCTTTCCCCAACAACTCCTGAAAGAAACCAAGAAAATGCTCTTCAAACTCTTTCCACTCCTCAACCACCAGTCCGTTTTCAGCTTTAAAGGGCAGAATCCGTTTTCTCTTTTGTTTCTGTTTTATGGCAGCATGGAAATATGTTGTATTAAGGTCTCCTTGCTGCACCCATTTTTCCTTTACCTTCTGCTACCAGTAAGTGTATGCATGCATACTAAATTCCACATATTTCTTTTCCGCTTCCTTTTCTGTTCTTGGAGTTCCATATTTTGAGGATTATTTTGTAGTTCCTTCTGCAAAGTTTCCAACAACTCTCTATGTAACATAACTTTCCGATCAATATTAGCAAATTTTCTGTGATTCAGGTCTTTGAGAAGAGGCTTTAGAAGCTTCTGTTTTTTAACTAACAGAAACTGCTTGCATCCTTTCATCTCAACATCCCATCTCTTCTTAACTATACTCACATATTCTGTATCAATTGCCCACATGTTGAAAAATCTGAACCATTTCTTCGAGTCACAAACATTATAGTTCCATATGATCACTATAGGACAGTGATCAGACAGTCCTTCTGGTAGGACCTTTACCAAACTCTCTTTAAATTTTAACATCCACTCCCCGTTGACCAATACTCTGTCTAACCTTGCATATATTCTCTAATCCCCAGCTTGCTTATTATTCTAGGTAAAATTTCCTCCATGCAAAATTAAATGAACCAACTGACATTCATCTATCATCATTTTAAATTCCCCGGTTTCCATAGATGTCACTGGCTGTCATCCAACTTTCTCATTTGGCTCCAACACATTGTTGAAGTCACCTGCAGCCATCCAAGCTTTAGTTACTGTTTGCCCTATCTACATCAATTCGTTCCAAAAGGAAGTTCTTTCATTTCTGCTATTAGCTCCATATATTATTGTCATGATGTACTATCTTTTGGCCACATGATCAACCACTTCACAGTGCATAAAGTGATTTTCATTTCTAAAAATCTTTACATTAATTTCCTCCTTCTTCCATATTACTAATATTCTAGTTCTTCCACCATCTGTACTATTCCCCATATATTCATAATCTGGCCAATCCTTTTTCATATACTCGTCTAACTTCTCACTTTTCATTTTGACTTCAACCAATCCCATGATACTAGCATAGTTTACTGAGACTAAGTTTTTTAGTTCTCTTTGTTTCAGCGGACTATGCAAACCCCTTGCATTCCATATAATCATATTATTCATAAGGAGTTCTCCCCTTATTCCCCCCTTCTAGTCCCTCTTTTTCAACCCAAAGTCTATAGTCCCTGACTAGATTCCCATCAAACTTAAGATCCCCTGCTACCATCTCCTTTCTTCTTGGTTCTATGCCTTCATCTGTCTTCTTTAGTACCCCATCTCCATTTGATTTATCAATCACAACAATGTCTTAGGTTGCCAAACCTGTTTAACCTTCTGCCTACATACAGTTGCTTCATGCCCATAGCCCTTGCAATCTTCACATCGTACAGGCTTCCACTCATACACAATAGATTGCTCTTGTACCACACCGTACTCATCTTCATATCAAAGCTTCTCAGGTAGTTTATGCTTTATCTCCATTTCAACTAGCAGCCTTGCATAACCTATCCTCTATCTACTAGATGTCAGCTCATCCATTTGCAGTGGAATGCCAACAGTACTAGCCAACTGACTCAACGATTTAGCTCCCCAGTACTTCAGGGGCAACCCTGGTAGTTGAATCCAAATTGGGACTCGCAAGATTTCCTCTCTTTGGAATCCTTTTTCAGCTGACCAATCCTTCACTATTAAGGGCTTGCTATCCATGTGATAGTGATTTCCCAGCACAGCTAACTTCCCTTCCATAGTGTTAAAACAGACAACAAATATGACATTATCAAGTAGTAAGATCTTATCCACCCCATATCTTCCCTATATACGCCTAAGATAACCAGACATAACCCTATATGGAGGAAAACCACCCAGAACATAACAGATCACAGACGTTTTCGAATGTTCTATCTCTTCCTCTATATCAGCCTTAACCATTTTCGCAATCTTCTTATCATCTATCAACTTAGGATCAACATATTCCAATTGCACAAGAACAAGCATAAGTTTATCAAGATCAAACCTAGACCGATTGGGATCTGCTTTCAGCAAACTCAAATCCCCTTTTGTTTCACCCACACTACTTTCAGATACAACAATTCGATGATTACACAGATCTTGGAGCAAAAGATTAGCCCTAGAACTCAGAGATTCAGAAACAAGAAGCTTACCAGTCACCGGAGTTTCAATACTCGCCATGGCTTCCGGCTTACTACCCGATGTTTCCCTAAATCCGCTCATAGAAACCTTGGCTCCCTTCACCGGTAACTTCATCGTCACTTTCTTTCCCTTCGCTTGCCTTGCCATGGCATATACTCAATTGTTGAGTATCAGCACACGCAGAGAAAGATCGTAACCCTGACAGAAATCGCACACACAAAACTGTGGAATCACCCGCACAAGCGCGTAGTTCAGCGCGTGAGAAATGGACACATAGGAATTTTTCTAAAATGACCCAATCAAACATTTGCTAATTAATAATGTAAAAAGACCATTTTTTTTTTTTTTTTGCTAATACTTAGACATATTTACTATCATTATTATTCATGTTTCAAATTAAATTACATTAAATTAATTTCTTAAGGAATTGTCAAAGTCGATGCAAGTTCTTTTAAATTAAATCAATTGATTAATAAATAAATTATTTATTAATTTTTTGAAATCGAGTATTGTGATTTTTTTAATATTATAATAATTTTAACATTAAAAAATTAAAATATATATAATTTTTAAATCAAAATTAATTTATAAATAGTTTAATATTGGATAATGTAAATTAATTATAACGATTAATTTATTTGATCAAATAAGTGACAATTTGAAAACAGAACATGAGTTAATGAAAAAATAAATGTACAGTATGAAAAAAAAATAGTATGAAGATTAGACATACAAAAAATATACACAAATTTAAAATTCAAAGGAAATGAAAAAGAATAACAACTTTTGGATGGGCAATCAATCCTGGAATCTCACACTTATTTTTTTTGACTTTCTTTGACTTTGGGAATCTTTTTACTTTCTTAAAACTAAACAAACATTGAATTTAATAATTAGGAGAATGATTACTTTACCAAACAAAAGAAACATAAAAATTTGAAAACAAAAAAAAAGATTTCATTCCCACCTTTCTTTCCCACCTAGATTCCAAGACAACCAAAATAGTTTATTATGAACACTTTCCTCAAAATATTTACAATAATTTGGTCTTGCAAATCTCTAAATTGCATTCACAAATACCATAAACTACATAAAATACCTTTTCTAGTTAGTTCAGTATTAGTAGAGAATCACACTAGTGGATACAAGTAACCACTAGACAGTCTAATTAAGGGAAATGTTGATGAATTATTTCGTGTCATAAAAAAAACAACAGAGGGATGATATGCAAGATATAACACAGTAATACGATGAGATCTATTTATTTTGATAACATTAGAATTCACAGTGGTAAGGTATTGAGAAAAAAGTTTTCTTCGGTTGACCTAGCAAATTAGTAACTAGACTACTGAACTGGAAAAGGAAAAAGGATCTGTTTCTGTCAGTTGTATATGGATGTTCACTTAAACACCTTTTCCTTTCCATCATCCAGAAAGAAAAGATTAACTGGCAATCAAATGGTTCACCTCTCCGCTTTCAACAGCCGGAAATTCATCAACAGTAACCAGTCAGCATCGCATATAGAAGTATATTCAGAGAGTTCAAAACTGTTGACAATCACAGGTCTCAAAATGCTGCAAATTGGCTACATGTTAATGAGGTATACACAGGCGGGATTTCTGCCAACATGAATTGCAATCTAGACATATATACAGGTACCATTTACAGACCAAGCCGCTTAGGCCGTAGATAAGTAGAAGAACCTTGTTTCAGGCCTGGCATTGAAATCTTTTGCTGTTCCTTGGCTCTCTTCTCCTTCTCCCTCTCCTTGTTCTTTCTTTCTTCCTCTGCTTGGGCCTGACGCAACCTCTCCATCTCCTCTTCCATAGCTGTTTTCTCTTCCTTCTGTTTCTTTTTATGTTGCAGCATCGATGTATCAGAATCCTTAATGGAGAAAAACATAGGTCCTAAATCAGCCAACCACTGAGCCTCAACAGCTGTAACATTCTGCATGTATTCTTTTGTTGTCAAAACTAACTCATGATAAACTACATATTCTGGAGTGTAACCCAGACCAAAGAGCGAACTACTTGGATGCAAGTGGCACGGCATCCCATTTCTACAGTTGACATATTCCCCAACCCCCTTCAGTCTTGCAGCATTGTGGAAGTAGGCTGAACAAATAGCCTGCCTTACGACATCCCAATCAGGACCACAAGTGGTGAGAGGAATTTTCAGTGTCTTCAGAATGTCCAACAATTGTGACCTTACTTCTCTTGCCTTCCGTAACCCCTTGACCTGCAAAAAATGGTCATTGCACCAATCTCCTCGATACTGATTTGCTTTCCACTGCTGGTAGACATTGAGAAGAGTAAGGTGATCGGACTCGGGAACAAAAAATTTTTCCCTTGCAGCGTCACTCTCCTCTGCCCTGTCTTTAGGTCTAAAGAAAACAGATGGCACAGAGAGCATAGACACAATAGTAAGAACCTCATTTATACATCCAAGTTGTTCACCAACCAACAACATCTTTGCGAGGGGAGGATCTAATGGGAACTCCACCATTTTCCATCCAAGATCAGTGAGGTTACCCACATTATCCAGTGCACCTAAAACCCACAACTGGTACATGGAATTAAGAATATTGTCCTGGGGAGGTGGATCCATAAAATCAAAATCCAGCAGGTTTTCAATTTTGAGAGACTTGAGCAACAATACGACATTGCCGAGATTGGTTCTCTGAATTTCGGGCACAGGACTAGGCAGCATTTCATTCAGATAAGCATTCTCTGTATAAAGTCGATAACAAGTGCCTGGGCCAGTTCTACCAGCACGACCAGCACGTTGATCTGCAGCAGCACGGCTAACAGGGAAGACTTGCAGAGCATCCATACCCATTCGAGGGTTGTATACCTTCATTTTACCATAGCCCGTGTCTATGACATAATAAATCCCATCCACAGTCAACGAAGTTTCTGCAATATTTGTAGCAACGATACATTTCCGTGCTCCCTCTTCAGCTTTCTCAAATATTTTCGCCTGAAGGTCAGCTGGCAGTTGCGAGTATATTGGAAGAATTAACAGTTTTGGAACAGCTTGCTTGGATGAAGAGATAAGCTGTTCCATTCGTTCTGCAAGTGCATAACACGTTGCCTCGATTTCATCTTGACCGGTCATGAAGATGAGTATGTCACCCGGTGCACTAGTAATGTGAATGGTCATTGCCTGCTTTACTGCAGCTTCAACATAATCCTCGCAAGGGGATTTACTGTACAAGATTTGTACAGGAAAAGTTCTCCCAGGTATATGAAATATTGGCACACTACAACAGGAAAAAAACAAACAAAAAAATTAGATGAGAAAAGGGAAGTTAAGAGAAACTACACTCCAACTGACCAACTTGCTGACTAAATTAGTAATTACCTCCCAAAAAAATTTGAAAATTTGTCAGCATTTAGAGTTGCTGATGTCACGATAAGCTTAAAATCAAGGCGCCGTGCAACTACTTTCTTAAGAATCCCAAATAGTACATCAGTATTAAGTGATCTCTCATGAGCTTCATCCATCACAACTACACTGCAAACAATAGGCCATTTACGAGAATCAATGAAAAGATGTTGGCAGATGCTTTTTGAATTAAAATGAAATTCCTTGACATCGACATCCAATGAGTATTGACTATTACCGATATTTATCGAGATCAGAATCCTTCAGTGTCTCTCGGAGAAGCACGCCATCAGTCATGTACTACACAAGTAATAGCAAAGTATTAAACCATTTGCTACATGAATGGTTCAGAATAATCATTTTCCACGGAGAACAAACAGTAAATGGTCAATGACACTAGGCCAACATAAATTCCCAGATATGAAAAGCAGAAATCTAGTGTCGGTCCACCAATGCCCAAAGCAAAAATGGATTGAAGACACACTTCTTGCCAAAGACAAAGAAATAAACAGAAATAATCAAACACAAAAATCACAACTGCAACCTTGGAGTATATTATTCATTCCTTCTACTGAAACTATCAGGATAACATAAAGGCATGTCACAAGTGAAAAGAAAAGCAAACACATCAGATGACGGACAAAATCTACAAAACATTACATAACCCCAAAGTACCTTAATAACAGTATTTGGCCCAGTCACATCTTCAAAACGAATTGCATATCCAACTTTATCACCAAGCTCGGTTTCCATTTCTTCACTAACTCTTTTTGCAACACTCATAGCAGCTACACGTCTGGGTTGGGTGCATCCAACAATGCCATTTACGGTGTATCCATCCTCATGCAGATACTGTCCACATTTGAAAACAATGAACATCCTACTTTGCAGCAAAAAGTACATGATAGTGTGGAAGTCGAAACAAACCTGAGTTAGTTGTGTTGTCTTTCCAGAACCAGTTTCCCCAACAACCACCACAACCTGATTTTCACGGACCACCTAAAAATATAACAGCAAATAAATTGAATTTCAAAGTTCAATTTGGCTCATTTCTATTCTCTCGTACTTCAGGCGGTAGCAATTGCTGATAGTAGATGATAAGAAACAACAATGAAAAGAAATATTTATGGAAATGATCGTTTAACCTATACACAAATTATGCACTATATAGCATAAAAAACAACATTTTCTTGCGCATAAATTAACGGCTAATCGAAATGTGTCTTTAGCATATAGAACAATAATAATGTTAAAGAATTTCCATTATCCAAAATTACACCAATAACTACCGGGCCTCGATGCAGATAAAATCTCCAAAACGTTCTAAACTCATAACCCAATGATTCAGTACACAGTAAGAACAGGATGACAGAAAGAGGAATTAAACAGCTAAATGATTAAATTTTTCCAGCAGGATAGAGAAGATTAAAACGTACAGAAAACTAAAACCAAGACATGTGTTTTGCTTTCACTCCAAAGGTAGAAAGTCATATGACTGATTCAGTGATGTGTCGCATTGAGATTTGCTGAACTTAATTTCAAACCAATAGTGCTCAAGTAACCATGCACATATAAGATACAAAACCGATGAAGGTTCCACTAAGAAGATAAATATAGATAAATGGGCAGAGGTCTCACCTGCAGTAGCTCGTCTCGTATAGAGAAAATGGGCAAATACTGCCTCTGTTCTGTTAATGTTTTGGATTTAGCAAATTCACTGACTGCTTCCCCCTTTTTCATGTGCTGTGCAAACCTCGCATCCTCCTTGAAATCAACCTCACCTTCTTCCCCAACTACAGCTGTATCTGCATCAATCTACAAGCAGAATTTTCATACATGAATCAGAAACACATGCAGCAAAATTCAGTCAGTTAACATTGTTGACACAGAATGTTGATTGTACCTGTTCTGCTGTCTTTTCAACACCAAGAATGTTCCCAAGTTTTGAACCAGCAAGTTCCCAAAAACGTTGGCGTGATTTATTCAGGCTTTGCTTCTCATGAACTTCACGTACTAGGGCAGATCCTTTACGTGATATTATGGCCATGTCTGATGTAGGGTCTTTGATGGGCATAACTGGTTCAGCTTGCTTTGTGAAAACAATCCTCCCATCAAGAAAGGGGGGTTTTGTATCTGTGCAGATATTATTAAGATAGATAGCAACAAAAGATTGATTAAATAAATTCCATCATTTTCATTTTGATTAGAACAGAAAAAACTGTAAAAATGATATACCCTACCATGAACTAGAAGAATAACCTTCCTCTCATCCTCATCATCAAATTCAGTTTGCACTTCGGTACTTTTCACAGCACCAGATCTCATCAGTTGCCTGTCCTCCCACTGAGCATTATCCGCAGCGCGTTGAGATAACTTTTTGGTCTGAGCAAGCGTCATCGAGCTTCCATCTCTCCTAACCTATAATGATGTAAAATGGTGATTAAATGTTGATACACTGGGAAAACAATCCATGTGTTCATTAACAGATTGACAATAATTAAAACCATAATGTTATGTAGAATGCCTTCAGGGAAACAAAAAGAAAAACAAAAATTACTAGCTAGCTGAAATGATTACTTTCGTCCAAGAAAAAGTGGAAGCGATCAAAACCTAACAGATTAATAATCAGATGACACCTTTTCTTTGAAGGCATCAGCAGCAGCAGCATCTCTCTTACTGCTAAAAGTCATCCTAATCTGATCTGAGTTACCAGCTCGGTCAAAGGGGGATGGAAAAAGAGACACCACGTGTACACAAACTGGAGATCAGCATTACCATCTCTAATGTGACCTCCATAGATGATAGACAAGCAGATTTTGCAGCACCAATTTTTTAGCATATATGACGGGTCTAGTAATTATCCCACTAATGGACATAGATGCAGCTTCCAGGCTTATGTCAAATACAAATCCAGGGGCTGAAATTTAAAATTTTACTTGAGCAATGAAAAAAGAAAAGAAGCCATCTATAACACTGCAACAAATAGAGCAAACAACTTAGAAGTGCAATTTCCAACTATCAAAAAATAGAAATTCATCATATCCTTCACAGTTCCAGGACATCAGCTTAACAACTCTGCAATAATTGTATGTAATACCAACAGCTTCCAAAATGACTATAGCTAGTCCAATCTCATGTGGTTCTTCTCGGATCCATACAAAAGTGAACTAACTTTACTCATCTCGTATAACAGTTAATCTCCTCCTAAAGTGTAAAACTTGAACTTAATCTGTCTAATCGAGGTTCACATGATTAATGCAATCCTAAGAAACATGAGGGGACTAGAAATTTTCCATTATTCTCTAAGAACTTTAGGACTTGGAAGATATGGAGACCAGAAGAAGACATTCAGGAGAGAACTAAAAAAAAAACAGACAAAAAGATATTGAGATTTCGGGAGTTCTAGCTGACTATTAGGAGGTACATCTCAAGGCTGAATACAAATCTCGTCATAAGTAGAAACTCCAAAAATTTAACAGGCACTAGGATTCCACGATATCATCTAAAAATTAGACATAACATGAATATCATCCACTCCCAGGGGGAGAGATTTCAAGACAATGCTCCTTAGTCCTTGATGACTAATCAAACCAAAAGTAATAGTATAGGATAAGCTGATCCAAATCAGCTACCTACCTAAAGTTAGTGGACGCAAATAAACTTTATATAAATCACAAATAGTCTCTCTTGTAACCAGAAGTAAAAGCTGTTAGAAAGGTCACGACACTAACACCGGAATGACAAAATGCATCATCGATCCCAAAACGTACTAGTTTAACTTGGCTCTCCTTACCAAACCAAAAAATTTTAATCATTTTTTATATTCAAGTTGCTCAGCTTCTCAATGCAACTAATGGCATTCACTAAATCTTCCTGCAAATCTTATCCATAATATGAGCCACTAACAAATTTCATTTGTGAAACCAGCTAGACTAGTGCTAGTAATTTTCACCTTTATTACAGACAGGGAGATCAAATGCAACACCTAGTAATGCGAATCCCCTCCATCACTAGTAAAGTGATCACATTACTCTCTACATCCTCAATGCAGAATTTCCGTATTATTGATCAATTAAGAGAAGGAAACCAATGAGAAATTTATCAACCTTTTCACATTTATACCTAAATAGTTGTAGCAAGATCATGATTGAACAAAAGGTTAAAATTTTCAAGACTAACCAGTCGTTTGATCTTCTCTGACTCTCTTTTCTGGAAAGATGCGTCATCCCCAAGGAAATAAGAGGAATTATTACCATCAAATACAGAGCCACCTTCCTCCCTATCATACCTACATAACAATAATGGAAGATTATCTTAGAAAAAGGAACAACTACGTACGCAAGGGGGGGGGGGTGTGGGAAATCAAATGTAAGAGAAAATATCCCCTTCCAACTAAATCATTTAAGCTAACATTTATGTTATTCTCTGCGAATAAATTAATCACAGGTTGCACAAGAAACAGCAGCAAAGGAAGTAATTGCAAAACTGGGAAACGAGTGAAAAAAAAAAGAAAATTGTAAGCATTAAGTTTGGTTATGTTCCATAGACGAAAGACACTCCTTGGGTTTGTTTTCACCCCTCAAAATGATTCACGTTATCCAAAAAAAGAACCTCTTGTCAAGAAGCATTAGAATCACATGACTCAATTAAAGTAGCAAATTCTGATAAAACAACCTACCAGCATCACATCACACAAATAATTTCACCTTTTCATCTTAATATTAATGAGATATCTTTTGATCAAACAAAATGAAGCATGATAACGGCTATACTGAGAAGTCTGCACCACAGCAATAGATTCAACTATCCCGGAACAATAAGAAGTAGAGGAAGAAAAAGATAGAAGTAGAGGAAGAAAAAGACATAGCATGATCATGGAGCGAGAAGCACCCAATATCATTTCACTTACATATGAAAGATAGATTGAATTTGACGTTGTATTGGTTCTGTAGTAATTTATGTCGTCAATTTTAACTTTTGAACTAACTAACAAATAGTAGGAAAAAGCAAAATTGATAGTTTGTAGAAAGTAAATTTAGCTTCTACAACAATTCATTTAAGGGGTTTGCATTTCACAAAAGAGTCAATGTTCAGTAATTTCTCGTTATTTTTAGTATATTAGTTATTGGATACTTGTCAGGGTTGAGGCCAGAATCTAAGTCATCTTATTGTTTCACTATCCTGGATGATTTGACAAGTTCAAGAAGACTAAGCTGCACATCTGCAACTGGAAATTACAGAAGCTGCTATTCTGCCAACCTTACATGGTTCATCAAGAAAAAAATATAAAAACAGATAGAAACTCTATAATTTGGGGGTTGAAATTACCAGGCACGATCAGAATTGTACTCCATCTCTAATCTCATACTTTCAGAAATCTCAGGATCATTATCCTCAGTCAAATCATTAATGCCATCTTGTTCTTCCTAAGTACAAGAAAAACAATGAATGCATTTTAATCAGCTTTTGGGGCAATCAGAATATAAAATAAAATAAAATAAACTGCAGATTGAATGAACGGTGTGTTACGCTCCAAAGCAGGAAAGAAAATGACACTTCAAATTAGCAGGATAATCCAGTACCTCAACCAATTGTGGATTACGGGCAGACGACGTAACTGGTACAGACTTTCTACTACGGCGATAACTGGAAGACGACGTCGATGATGTTCCAGAGGCCCGTATCGGAGTAGGTGAAGGAGCCATGGAGTCCCATGGAGATGCAGAAGATCCTGATAATAGCAATATACTCAATAGTCCTAACACAATTAAAGATCTTTGCCACTAAAAACACAACTAGTTAACTTAAGCTTACCAGTCGGAGTTTGTCCCCCCAACCATGGGGATACAAGTCGAGCATCAGGAGAAGCTCCAACAAACATTGGTGAACGGGAAGGTTGATTGTGTCTGCTAGAGCCAGCACGACTCTCACGACGTGGTGTATCCTCCCATTCCCATCTACCTTCATCCCAATCAGATCTGCCTGCAATATTAAAAAAGGCATCTCAGATATAAGCATTGTGTATGTTCTGCCAAAACAAAAAGTGCCCTAAAGATTATAAGAATAAAGATTGCTTTCTCAATAAGCTCAAGATAATGACTTTCTGAACCTCAACATCCCCCTTTCAAAGGGAGGGGGAAAAAAAGAGAGGGGAATCGATATATTTAAATGTGTTCGTAAGTTAAGATGGAATTTGCCTTCCAAGACTATTCTCAATACCAAATTCTAAAGCCTCCAACAGAATATAAAAAAAATGTGCATGCATAACAGAATGTCATACCTGGGGTTCCCCTAAACTCATCACGTCTACTGCGTTTTCTTCCATATCTGTCGGTATACTCCCTTTCATGACCATGATCCCGGCGACTACGCTCTTCGCCATCACTCTGATATTTCCTACTCCTCTCCCTATCACTTCGCATACTTTCATCCCTGGATCTGCTGCTTCTCCTCCCATCATCATCATAATCACGTCTAGGAGTTGAAGATCGTGATCTTCCAGAAAGCGAGGCCGAAGACTGGAACCAAGTAGAAGATGGACAAGGAACACATTAACTAAATATCAAACAAATAAAAAGTAAATTGCGAAAACAAAGCAATTGGCCCCCTAGGTTTGGCTAGTTCAGGATGTGGTCCAAGTTTCAAAACATTTGTTCTGCCCATAATTGTTCGAATTCCCCGGTCCTTTCTATTGATACCATGATTATACAATCCAAATTTACCAAAAGAATCCCAATTGTCTCGTCTAACCTAATTTATTACAGGATTTGCAAGTTTGAAAAAACATTTACATGGGAGGGGGGCTGATTTGAAACCGTTAAGAATAAATGCATATGTGCAATATATGAACATTTTGGATTTCATTCAGCATATACAATCAGATTATACACAAATAAATCAAGCAAAGCAAGCAAGACTTACTTCACCATGATCATTTGGGCGATCATGCCTTGAGGATGAAGCATGAATACTTCCTTCAGTTATAGTACTTTCTGCAAAAATTGGAAGGAGGTATCACACTTGAGAATTCACTGGCAAGAACAGATATACAAATTTATAAATGCTTCTAACTTCTAAGGCGAAATGGATGTCTCAGTCTCAATTTCAATAATTTCTTATTCTAACTACAAGGCCCATATTTCATGCATATCATAAGTGAACCTTGGAAAATTCCATCCGCAACAGTAACCGAAAAAAGAAGAAATTCCCAAATCAAGGTACAGAGGCTGTACTACTTGAAAAACCAAAATACAGCACAAACCTGTTTCAGATGTCTTACTGGTGACAGATTCGCGATACTTCCTACCAGTAACATTCCGTTGAGTCCCTTTCACTTCAGTTTCAACATCATCAACCTCTGAGTGTGATGACATCATCTCTTCTTCGTTTAAAGATGCCAAAACGGAAGGAACTTTTTCTCGTGGCATCTTAAACAAGGCATCTGCTCTTTTTGTTTTCGCAAGCATATCCAACCCTATACCAGGAAGTAAATGACATTAAAACAAGTATCAGGTGGCCAGGTAATACAACCTTCTGGCATGCTATAATGTCAAAACATTCCAAAGATAGAACTTACTGAATTAGAAGGCACAATTCATGAAGACAACAGTGCCATAATGTAAGAGTTGCTACCACAGAATATATATGAGCACTAGCATAAGACATGATATCTACATGAAACATGAGGTCTACATAACTAGGAAGACATTCTCATAAAACTATTTGAGGCAAATTTATCCTGCCAGTCACCAAACACAAACACACTTTTCCCCAATCATTGTCATTCAGCAAGCCTCAGATTAATACACGGAGCACACAGCTTCAGAACTCATCCATAAGGGAAGTGTCAAATTGTTCAACAATGCAAAGCCTTATGAAGAATGCTAAGTTTCAAACCATCAAAGCAGAAACAACAAACTAGCATTGTGGCCAAAGAAACAACGTTCTTGAAATATAAGAATAATTTCAACCAAAATAATCAACTGCCGCACACACCTAAAAGTGATTTCCTCTCTTGCGGTCTATAAACCATTTTGTCTCTTTCTGGAACTGTTAATCCCCCACCAGCAGAAATTTCAGGATCTAACATAACCGTGCTATTGTCAAGGTCAATAGGTCCTCGATCACCCTATTTTCAAAGAAAGGAAAGTTATAAGAAGACAATACCCATCTCCAAATATCAAGTGAGGTAAAGAGAAATACATCTTTGAGATAGAAAAAGAAAAAATTCAACAATAACAAAACACAAATTCCTGGAAAACAAGCAAAACCTACTGAGATTTACCTCCATAATGCTTCAGTGAAGAAAAACTAAATCAGAGTCCCTAATATGAACCCTGCAAAAAAAATAAATAAATAAAATAAAAAAAAACCACCATTCAGCATAAGCAACCAGCGACAAATTGAACGGAAAAGAACATTGCATGCTGACAAATACAACATCCTGCACACCTAGAAGTCTCTTCTCTTTCGTGCATAACACAAGAAGAGAAAAGCACAAGGGAACTAACCATCGCCTATTTGAATTTGGCGTCACTACAAGTCTACAACAACCTTCAGACTAATTTAATGCTCATGCTTCTTCCCTTTCAATAGCATTGAGAAACTAATTACACGTTTAATAACCAACCACTTCCCTGAGACCCTAACACAAGGAACCCGTAAAAGTTCTGGCACCAAAACAACCCCCAAAACGCAATAATGCCTAAAACAGTTAAGCCAAAGCCAGCCACTTAATTGCATGAAGTCTTCCTACAATCCAATCAAGCAGTTAGGTCTTACTTTTCACCCCCAATTAACAGTATCAAGTCCGAAAGCAAAAAACCCACCAATAAAAAGAAGCTGAAATTATTCTAAAAAATAGCTCCTCGTCATTAATCCAATCACAAGAAAACAATACGAAAGGTTTATACCATAGCTTTTTGCTTATCAAAATCCCAAAATTTTCAGCTAGAATGCAAGTAATTAAACAAACCCCATTTCTGATCCTGCCTAAAAACGAATTAAGCTCCAAGATTTCAACCCAAAAAAAAGCATGAAAAGAAAGTACAATACCTGGAGAAAAGCTTGACGGTCGAACACTAAGCAGGAGGAGTCTCGGAGATCAGGTTGAGATGAAAAAAAAAAAAAAAAAAAACAGGAAAAAGAAACTTATGGCGGTTTGGGTTCGGGATCGGAATTTGATTTGGCGGCCGACTCGGCGGACGGGGGCCTAAATCCTATCACTGCAATAAGGAGTTAAGGACTTCAGTAAAGGCCCAATTTTCAAGCCCAGGAAGAATATAAGGCTTGTCGGTTATAAACCGGGAAATTAGGAATTATTATTCTCTTGTACATTTTTTTTTTCGTAAATCAATCATTTGGAATTTTGAAACTTTTTTCATAGAGAAAATTTTAAAATACGTAGTATTTAAGGTTCCCTGAAAACTATTGCAGCTGGACTCAAATGTCATTGTGAAGTTTACTTATCTTATGTCTTTTTTGCCGGTAGATTAATTAAAATAATTATTTTCGTTTAATTAGTGAGTGTAATATATGTTAAACTTCATCCACAAAGTAGAAATGTTAACTTTACTAATTATAAGAATTTATTAAATTTCTAGTATAATGGTTAATGCTATGTAAAGTCATAACATATTAGTTACCAAAAAATAATTACTTATATATAAATTTGTAACATATTACTCCCTCCGTCCCATAATTATTGTCCACTTTGCCCAAAAAATTTTGTCCCAAAATTATTTTCCAATTTGACTTTTTATCGATCAAGTTACACATTTGTCCTTAGTAAAAAATATTATCCATAAAATCTTAGTGGTTAAACAATTACTTATGTAGGGATATATCCAGTTGTTTAAGGTAAAATATAGTTAAGTTTGACAAAAAATAAAATCTTTCATTTTAGTAAAATTGGACAATAATTATGGGACGGAGGGAGTATTTATAAAAAAAAATTTATTTTTCGTTAACTATTTATAAAAAGTTTCACATTTATGCATGACAAATATATTATAATTACGTTTTTTGTGCTATGCTACTCTCTTTTGACAAAATATTACTCCCATGGTCCCCAAAAAAAAATAGTTTGTATGAATTTTTGAAATGTGTACTAGTTTTAGTATAAATTTTAAAACCCCATGTGCATTATTTTTCTATCATGGAAGGAGTATAATTCTTTTTTTGGCTATATGTAATATGGCGTTGTTATTTATATGAATGTAATTCAATAATTTGTATAATTTTTTGTTATTTCAGCGGTACTTTGAGGAATTCATAAGCTAGTTCATTACAAAGAATCTGCATTTTCTAACACTCGAATGGTAATAATTTCCTATACCGCATTTTATGCTTTTTTTTTAAAAAAAAAAAATCCATTTCAGTAGACCCCCACTTAAATGTGGATAAAAATCTCTTGATGGGAATGGAACTCTGATTTATTACTAAGAAAAATAGCATCCTAATCATTAGACTATCATTCAATTTCCAGACTGCATTTTATGTTACATATCTTGTACGCTGCTAAAAGAATCACGCATAACTTTTTGAACATCATCAAAATCTTAAAATTTTCTTAACTAATATCCAAACTCACAATGGGAGTTATAGCCTTATAGAAAGTGATATACCAAATAAGTACTTATAAAAAATATCATTCCCAAAGATTAGTGTCTACAGTTTTTCACAATAAACTTTACTTGGTCTGGCTCTGGCCTAAAGTTATAATTAGAAAATAACTATCAAAAAGAATTAATTTAGTTACCCTATTTAGACTTAAACTTTCACATATGGCCCTTAAACTTTATATTAATTCACACTTAAAAATTAAAATGAATAGAAAGAATGATGCAGTAAAACCTCTATAAATTAATACATTTGGCCCCTTAAAAATTTATTAATTATTCATAGATTATAGAGTTCTTAAAGTAACTTAACAATTTTTTTAATCCAATTAACAAACAAATAATCAAAATTATTATTGTCACTAGGAGAAAACTTGGTTGCTATCCTATTTATATTACAAATATTTTTTTAATGTAGTAAAAAGATGAAAATGGCACACATAAAATTATGGGGACCTACATTTATAATTTATAAAATTGTGGGGATCTATATTTACATAGAAAATTCTTTAAAAAATTATTATTTTATTAAAAAATCGAAAAAAAATTATTATTTAAAAAAGATTATTAATTTATGGAGGTTCTACTACAATATATAAAAATCTTATGAATAACAGGTAATAATTAATCACTCTTCTAAATCTTAATTAGGGGTGTTTTATGTATTTTTGTTAATAATATCACATCCATCACTATTAATTTCAGCACATAAGATAAGGCCATAGAGTAATAGGAAGTCACGCCATTTGAACAAAGTCAACAAGGATAATGTCCTTGATATCTTTCATTTTCTTTATTCTTTTGGCTTCCTAACAAGTGAACACCTTGCACTATTCTTCTATGGTCAAACAACAGATGACAATCACCCTTTAGAAACCTACACAATAATTCCCCAACTAATAATGCCAAAGTTTGGTAATAAGCAATATTCAAAGTACAGGTAACATGTTGATTTTGCACACAATTAAAAACTCATATTCATACTCAAAAATCAAAATGAAACAAAATAAAAATTAAAAAAAAAGTCTTCTTTTTACGCTCTACTCAAATGCCAACAACAGCCCAGATCTCTGGGCAACCTTACTTCTGATTGGCTGCATAATTTCTATGATTTTTTCTTTTCTATTTTCTTCTTGAACTTATTAAATTCATCAGATTTGCTGTAATAATTGATTCTCTCTCTCACTTCATTCATAATGCTCCCCTTTTTTCCTGGCTCCAACATCTTCCACCTCTATGCTAGTCCGCTTACCTCTACAGTTTATAAAACAACCCTTTTCTAGAAAGGGTACAGAAAGTCAGAAAGTACAACAAAATCCCCTGAAAAATATTGTGTCTGTAAAACTTTTGCTGTTGTTTTGAGTTTCTGTGTTCAATCATTTCTGTCTCTGAAATCCCATTTTTTTGGTAGCACTAGCTTCCTTCATCCAATCTTCTTTTCCCCTAGTTGGGTTGATTAACCTGCAGTTGCTAGAATTTGATAAATGGCAAAATTGTATTCCTTTTATGGTGTTCAAGCTTCTTGTTAGAATTCGCTCAGAGATATGCTTTTATGAGATTAATAAAGTTATTTTCTTTCGTCAAGGTGGTGTAAGTTCCTCAAAATTCTTCATTCCTCTGTTGAATTCAAGGTGGGATTTTCTTGATTAAGCCAGTAAATAGAAGGAAATCAGTGGAAGGAAACAAAAGATCCACCCTTTGTGAAGTCCTAGGTTGATGGATTTTCAGAGGACTAATAATCAGCAGCAGCTACATATGGCTGGTGGTGGATTGACCCGGTACAGGTCTGCCCCAAGTTCATATTTTTCCAGCTTTCTTGATGCTGCTGATGAAGCTATTAGAAATCATAGTGGTGGTGGGAGTGGTTTTGGTTATGGCGGAGATGATCTTGATCATTTTCTCAATAGATTCATGCCCGGAAATTCCAGTGGACTGGACTCAATCTTCAATGATAGTTTCTCAAATAACGCAAATATGCAATCTCAATCACAAGTTGTAGCATCAGTGAAGCGAGAAGAAGAAACTCTGCAGCCACAGCAACTTCAGCAGCAGAGGAATCAGAGCATTCATTCTCAGTTGCCCCCTCCAGTGCCATTTCGAAACCAAGCTCAAGGGCAATCCCGATTATCACAGCAGATTATTGGTAATGCAGAGGCTTCTAGTGCTTCTGCTGTAGATAATTCACACAGCCTATTGAATTCAGTGAGGTCAAACCAAATGGGGGCACCGTTGAAGATGGCGAGTGGAGGTGGTAATTCGAATCTGCAACGTTACAATAGTTCACCAGCTGGATGGTTTGCTAATATTAATGTCGAAAATGGTAAATCCTTCTGCAATTTTCTTGCTTGATTTTTGTTGAATTGTCTTTCTCCCTCTTTAATAGTAGTTGGGGGAGTTCTTTTCTGTTGGAGTTCTTTTTTTTTCCATTTTTTTTTTTTTGGGGGTCTGTTTGTTGGTTGTTGAAAGTGATAGTAATTTCTCTATTTTGGGTCTGCTTTTATCTTGTATCACAGTTTAGTTGATGTGGTCCGGATTTAGGAAATTTTTGGGATTTAGTATTCTACTTTCTAGATTTGGTTACAGATCCTATTGTTGTAGGCTAATTGTCTAACAAATTGAAGAAGGAACAGTCTTAATGCCTTAAAAATCACCATTAACATATTGAAAATGAAAGACTGTTACAGACATGAAGGGAACTTGAGGCATTGATAGTGTTCAGGGTTTATGACCTAAGTTGATCGGGATTGAAGCTCGATTTGTCTGCCGTAGAGGTTTTACAGTCGCTTTAAGATGGTAGAATACTTTATCTGAAGACAAAGAAGGAGATAAGATGTTAGTTATAACTTAAAATTAAAGTTCTTAAGCTAAGTTGCCGAGATAGATGTTTTGAGGAGTTTTGAATTCATGTTTGTCTCGGAATCTTGCTGAACTTTCCTTGCAAATCACAGAATTTGGTGCAATGAGAGGCTTGGGGAATTTTGGAGCTGGTAATATGGCTAATGCAGAAGCATCAGTTTCTTCTGCTAGCAGGATTCATGGTCGTATGGAATTCCCATCGTCTCAAACTACTCCATCAGGTCTGATGCCGCCTATCTCGGAATTTGGTAACACAAGCACAGGACAAACTAAACCTGGAGACACAAGTTTTCCAGGAAATCAGAAGAATGACTCTGATTACACGACAGGATTTCCTGTTCCTTCTTGGGATGATTCAGCTCTTTTGTCTGACAGCTTCTTGAAAGAGCTCGGAGATGATCCTGATGATAACAAAGCACTGTCAAATGTAAAGGTGAGATTGCAAAAACCAAGATTACATTTGCAGGACTTGTTGGCATTCTTTTCAGTGCTGCTGCTGCGTAATCTTTGTCTAAGTAAATTCCAATTTTGTTGATCAGAATAATGAAGCTCCAAGTAGACCTCCCACTCGATTGTCCCATCACTTAAGTTTGCCGAAGACATCAGATGAATTCTCAGCTATGGAGGCACTGATGCAAGATTCTGTACTCTGCAAACTTCGAGCAAAGAGGGGTTGTGCAACTCATCCCCGAAGCATTGCAGAAAGGGTAATGCTCCTAAAAATTTGAACCATTGTGCATGTTGTATGTGCAATTATGTCTTTGCTTTGGAGTTAAAATTAGCTTGTGTTAAAAATTTGTAAATCTGATGGAAGATCAGACTATATGCAAACAACATAGCTCATAAACTAGGTTCACAGTCGATCAGCTCTTAGGTTCTGTCACTTGAACTATGGCCGACTGTTGATCAATGCAGGTTAGAAGAACAAAAATAAGTGACCGGATGAAAAAGCTCCAAGAAATCGTTCCCAACATGGACAAGGTAAAGTTGCTTTGATTAGAATCTCGCTGAAGTTTGCATCGCTGATGCTTGTTGGATAACTTAAAATTTGGGAAAGGGGGAAAGCATATCCTTAAAGTTTCTGTTGTCGTTGTTTCCAGCAAACAAACACGTCTGATATGTTAGATTTGGCGGTCGACTACATCAAAGATCTTCAAAAGCAACTCCAGGTAACCCCCTTCAGGTCCTAATAAATCAGTAATCATCAATGTCATAAACTCATTATATATACTCTTTACTGATATAATGACTCTAATTTTGCCTACCCTTTTGGGGGTTGGAACTTTTACTTTTTGTAGACGCTTTCAGATAAAAGATCCAAGTGTACGTGCTACAATGCTTGAGTCCATAAAGCATGTGGATCAGAAGACTCATATAGCTCAAGGTAGGAAAATGCTTCTTCTTTTCTGCCACTTTAAAGGGGAATTTGACAAGTATTTTGTGATGGAGGTGAGAAAAGCAAAAAGTTTAAAAATTCTCTTTGGATTTAAGTAGAAGACAAGATATTCTTTTTACTTATTGTGTTGGCAACATATATACCAAAGAGCTTTGGGTGCCTTCATTTCAAAGCCAACTGTACAGTTACTTTCTTTTTTCTTTTTTTTTTTTCTTGTATACTTATCCAATAGCATTTTCTTACTGTTAAACTGAACCTTTAATTATCACACAAAAGAGTTAGCATTTCTTAAAAGAATTATGTTGAGTTTGAGAGGAGACACTGTCCCAAGTTACGAGCAATCGCTTAGACCTAATGACTCGTATCCCTTTTTTAATTCTTCATCTCATTTCCGGCGTGCAAATAGTTTTTGCTAGGTCCAAAGTAATGAGCCCTGCTCTTTGTTTTCGGGAATTTATATTTTTACACATATGATTCATATAGTCGACCTTACCTAGTGGGAAAATGTTTGTTGTTGTTATTGTATATGTTGGAATTATTAGTTTCTAAAATAGATGATGCAAGGCACCAACTAACAGCAAAATTTCTTGGGTGTATCGTTAATTGTGAAAGTTGGAAAACATCAAAACACTCTCACATTTAAACTTTTGCAATTAATGCCTTGAAGTTCTTGAACATTACACGTTATATAGTCGCATTTCTTGCCATTGAACTCTTTTTCAACGAAGCCTTCAATGTATGATAATGAAATTCGCCCAAAAAAGAGGGTAAATTACATTTTACTCCCGAATTTTAGCACAATCTATTATCGGCTTCTCCCTCGAATTTTGATAACGCTACTATGATCCGCGAATTTTAATATATTTTCTTGACTCATAGTCAACCTACCAAATGCTCTTTTAGGCTTTAACATACTAACATCATCATTAAATTTGTGTAAACGTTCAAAAATATTTTTTAATTCATATTTTTTAAAGTATAATATTTAAATATTTTTAAAAGACATCATAATTTAAATTAAAAAAATACTCCATAATAATTGTTCTACATAATGCACTTAAATAATAAGTTTTTGTAAAGATTATATCATGTGTTTTGAAATAAAATAATATTTATTAATTAAATTATTATTATTTTTAAGCATAATAAAAAATGTCATTTAAGTCATGAACCCTGGTAATATTATCAAAATTAGGGAGTTCATGATTGATAGGGTCAAAACTCGCCATGTAAAATGTAGTTTGCTTCAAAAAAAAAAAAAAAAAAAACAGGCCTTTAGAGATGATGGATTTTCTATATATTTTTGTGGAAGCATTGTCAAAAATCAACTGGTAGTTGGCCAATAAACTGGCCCAAAGTGGCTATAGATCCGGTTAGCGTGGTGATACCGGAATCTTGGACCACAGAACTACAGAAGAAGTGAAGTGATTCACAGGTCATTGATGATCTCATCATCCTTGGTTCTACAGTATATTATTTTTATTTCTTCTTCTCCCCTAGGCAGGCCAAATTCTATGACTCTCGTGGCGCCAAATTTGTGGTGTAGATTTGGTAGTTTCCAGATTTTCCCGCTACAAAATCATACATCAGGAATTATCCAATCCGGTAGTGTAAAACTGTAAATGGTAGAAAGTAAAGAGTATGATTTGGTGTGAAATGTGGGAGGTGTACATATGAGGTTGTAAACACTCAAGAAATTCTTTCAAATTTTAATTTAAAAATCTCAATTTTTGACACCTCAATTAAGGATAAAAAATATGGTCAATCAAGGCACCGACATCTGATATGGTGACTTATCTTCTTGATAAGTAATTTCCCTCCCTAAAAAGAAAATCCCCATGAAGTTTCAACGTCCCGATTTAGCGCTCGAAAGGCGATGGAGCATGCAGATTAAAGCTTGTCCGAATGATACGCGCGTTTGTTATGTTACTAATAATTAATTAAAAGCATTACAATCCAAATCACATGTAATTAACTGATCTATTGAAGAATGGGTAAGTTTGGAGATGCACACCGAGCATCAAACGACATTTGAAATTTTTAAGGGTGGCGTTACCTGAAAATCTGTCTTAGCATTCTTGAATTTTAAGAAGCTGTTCGAAGTATTTAAAGACAGCTTCACATTTTGCCATAGGTGATATTCTCATGGAAGACCAACAGCCAATTACTCATGAAAGTTGAAAGGTGAATGAGACGGAGACATAATGATCGACTTAGGATAAGAAAATGTTGATTATAGTTAACTAGGTTAGAGCTTGGGAGCACCATTTGATGGGAATTACTAGAGTACGAGGTTCATTCTTAAAAAAAAAAAGAAAAAAATTACATCCATAGAAGTAAACATATTTTTCATAATTGCATCAAACACTTGTAACCCTTTTGATTGGTGGGATAGCCCACAAAAATTCATGTATATATGTGCCTTGGGATCAAGTTTGGAACGTTTAGGGACATGATTATGAATAAAGATCACACTTCTAAATATTTTTAAAAAGATATCGGTAACCACTCTGACTATTCGGAAAATGGTCATAAAAAATTGGATTAAAGTCCAAAACTCGTGTAGGCATTCTATTGATCCAATAGGTGGTTGTTAAAACAACTTTCTCCTTAGAATTGTCGTTGTAAAACTAAAATTCTAGCAATTCTAAGGAGTTTTTTTTTTTCCGGTCAACCACCCTATTTTATTGAGGTGTATTACTATATGAACTTAAAAGCACAATTCCATTCTTAATGAAAAAAAATTTCCTAACAAATTGTGAAAAATCTCTTTCCCATTATCACTTTGGAAAATTTTGATTTGAGTCTGATATTGTGCGGTGTAAAAATTTTTAAAAACAGCTGCAAACATCAGATTTCTCTTTTAAAAGAAAGACCAAAGTGACTCTAGCTAGTATGATCATTAATGAAAATAACAAATTAGCGTTTTACAGAAAAAGTAGACATTCTTAAATGACCCCAAACATCACAATGAATTGGGGTAAATGGTTCTCATTTTTGTATCCCTGACTTGGAAAAATTGCATTATGATATTTTGCTAATTGACAAATTCACACTGAAAAAATGGAAAGCTTTTTATTCATAAACAATTTGGGAAACTTATGCTTCAAATACTGAATGCTACGATACCTCAATAGATAATGCCATAACAATATTTCACTATCACTAGAAACATAAGTAGAATTTAAACATGTCCATAGGTCTTGTATTCCAAAGTATCCTTTATGGAGTATGTAGAGGCCACTGACTTGTTTAGCACTTCCAATCAAGTTTTCTGAGGTTAAATCCTGGAATTTATAGTTAAAAGATGAGAAAAGAACTTGACTATGATGAACTCGGGTGAATTTACTAATAGAAATAAGATTTATGAAAGATTAGGAACATGTAAAACATCTTTAAGAGTTACAGAAGGATGAACAGAGACATGTCCTTTTCCTACAATTGAAACATAGGAACCATCAGTCATTTTCACCCTTTGGTTCCCTAGAGAAGGTGTATATCAAGAGAAAATTTGTGATTTTCTAGTCATATAATTAGTAGCTCTTGAATCTAAGATCCAGTATTCATTAGAACTCGTACAAATAAGAAGAAATGTGCGGTATTTACCTGATTTGGCAAAAGAGCAACATGGGGTAGAAGTTCTTATGGATTGAGATTAAAGCAATAATTGTATAAGTGTTCAATTTGTTCCTTGGTGAAGGAAAGGATTTTGAGGATGATTGCTACCCTAGATTAGTAATGCTTACTTAAAATGCATGAACTTCTTCCCTGACTTGTTATCAAAGACCTTTTTTTTCCCCTTCATGTTTGAGGTTTGCTGTGTACCTTCCAGCAATTCTGCCAAGTATGCCAACCCTTCATGCAATGATCATCACACCAAACCTTCTGTTTAACTCCCTATTTATCTCTTGCCATCGGGGCTGACCCTTCAACTTCAGCCTTTGTACCATTAATGTCTTCTAGCATCACTTTCCTTCGTGCTTCTTCTCGGCGCACTTCTGAGAAAACTTTTCTAACAAAGATACATCCTCGAACTTCATCCAGATCTTTGTTTAAACCAGCTAGAAAAAAAAAAGAAGCTCCGCAGAGTTTCTACTGTTTTTGCATACCGAGCACTATCCATAGGACTTTCCCACTCTTCTCCTTCAAATAATATGATGTCACTTTGCGTTCACCTTGCTGCATCCTCCAGATTCAAGTACTCCCTCTGTCCCAAAATTATTGTCCAGTTTGAGATCTCATCTCTAGTATAATTTGAACTAAAAATGAAAATTCAAACTGGACAATAATTATGGGACGGAGGGAGTATTTAACTCGAGCAATTGTGAATGATTGTCCAGATATGAGTAGGTGTCTCTAAAATCCTCCAAGACATCATGGGCAGTCGGCAAAAACAAGAATGGTTTTCTAAAATGCAGGATCCATAAACTTGATCAACCAAACGGTAGCCCTTGAATTTTTCGAATGCCACTGCCTTTATTTTGGATCATTTGCAGCATGGGGTTTTTATTTCTCCATTCAAATATCCAAAAATTCTAAACGAATATACAGAGACCGTTCCAAATAATTTTTCTAATTCAATTTGTGATTGGTAATTTGAAGGGGTTCTGCTACGTACCATATAGAAAAATAATCCAGGAAAAAGTATTTCTGCATTTTTGTATAATCAGAATGTACAGAGAATGCTGCATAAGAAAAGGATAAGAAGACAAAAATCACTAAAATCAAGCATTAGTGATCCTAAATCGCTCACCATAAAGAATAGGAATAAATTTCTCCTGTAATCCAGCTTTCGTTATTTATTTTAATCTTATTCACACAGAACTTCTTTAATTTATTGACATTTGTGAAGCCTCTCTTGGTCTGCTTGATCTGCATGTTTCCGTATTTCAGGTCTAGGATCAAATCCATATCTTATCATACTCCTATATCTTAGCCTCAGCTGAAACAATTATTACTTCGTCATAGATGTATTTCAAAGGTTTGGTACCGTTTGTCCGACATTAACTTTTTAAGTTAATAGTTTTAATGAATACTCTACGCAACTTTTCTGGTACCATATGTTTTAGAATTGTGGAGCGTAACTCATAATCACCATATGGATTAAAATTTGAGTGAACTGCCCAAGGGTCACTAAACTATGTGAAAGTTTGCAGTTTGATCACTACTAAATTTTAGTTTATAGTGAAGCCACTACACTTATGAATAGTGTATAAAATAAGAATTTTAATATTGACCGTTACTCAATAATTTCTATTAAAATTAGGGGCATTGAACGCCCCATGCAAAAATAACTATTCTTTATTTTATTTTCTTTAATCTTTTTGTTCTTTATAGTTATGATTTATAACATTTTTCTTTTGATTCTTATTTAGTCCCATGTTTTTTTTTTTTGCCTTTTCTTTCTTTTTCATTTTTTTAATAATAATTCTTTTTTGGAAAATGTTATTAAGAAAAGTTAATTTGACACTTGAGAATTGAGTGACAGCCTAATGGTTAGGTTGCTGTATTTCCTATTATGGTTTGATTCCCACTAGGGTTGTAAGGGAGGGGGGTTTATCCACATTTAAGTGGGGTATACTTGGGTGGATTTAAAAAAAGAAGAAGTTAATTTGACACTTTTTTACTGTTAAGTAATTATGATTTTTTAATTTTTAATTTTTATTTTTCATATATTTTTATTTTAATGTCTATGTGTATAAGAATTTAGTTTGATTTTATAAGTTTTCATTATGAAAAATAAATATGAAAAAATGTAATTTGTGAACAAAAAAACAACAAAAAAAGAAATCTCAAATCAATTTTTTCAATAAAATAATGTTTTCAAAAAATAATTACAAACAAAAAAATAAAAAAGAAAAGAAAAAAAAAGGCAAGAAAAGAAAACGTGAGACTAAACGAGAATTGCAGGACAAATTGTTATTAATCCTAACTTGAGGGAGCAAAAAGATGAAGATGATAAATAGAATTTTTGCATTGGACGTTCAATGTTCCTAATTTTAATAAAAAATTATTGACTAACGGTCAAAGCTAAGGAAATGACCTATTTTATACATTGTTCATAAGTATATTGATCTTCTCACAAATTAAAATTTAGTAGTGACCAAACCACCGACGTTAGCACAATTTTCTGACTTTTGAGGCATGTCACTCTAAAATTGATTTCCAATTGATAAACATGGATTTCGTTCTTATTCTTCTCTGGCGATTATACGCATAATGAAGTCCGAAAACTTGTTGAGCTCTTTCAGTTACACAATCAGGACAGAACAGATTTCCAAGAATAGGTTTGTTTTGGCATGGCATGTTTAACTGTGGATTTATGGTTCGATTTAATTTTTAAACAAACTATTTTTTCTTTTAAATCTTGTTTTATTTCCAGTCTGCATCAATAATGTAATGTAATCTTCGGGATTGGCAGTTCAGTCCTGCACATGTTGCACATATTTTTTTTTAATGAACTGTATTTCTTAGATTATCTTCTTCTTCTTCTTTTTTTTCTTTTTTAAATTAAACCAGGAGAGAATCTGAGAAATTTATAGATAACCAGAAATATTTTTAAGGGCAGTGCTTAAAACTTATCCTGTACAAGAGACCGTAAAAAATATGGAGATTTAAATATCAGTAAATATACTGATACTTTCAAACGACACCTTATTGGACCTATACAAAATTATGTCTAATGTCTGGTAATTTCTGGACTTTTCAGAACTATTTTGCTAGTAACTCAATAAAGAAAGAGTCACTAAAGTATAATTAATCCGAATCCGAACCTGAACCAAACATATGAAATAACCGTATAAAACGTTGCATATATAGTTGGGTGTATTTAATATTAAGCAAATCGGGGGACTTGGGGATAAACAATTCATATGTGAACCGCCTTGAAAACCAAAGCTGTAAAGTTAAATACTGCCAACAATTACAATTTTTTGCCTGGCGTTAAGTTTTTCATCTCTTATCTGTAGTTTGTCCTGCATGTGTTTCAGAAAAAGTTCAGTGAATTTTTTGATAAGCAAATTGGGGGACTGATTTTTATGGCTGAAATGGGGAGAATATACTACCAATAACAGTGTGCAAAATTAGTGTGCAAATTGGATTCTTTTTTCTGTCACATTCTAGCTTTCTTTACAGTATAATGTTATTTGACATACTCAACAGACATCTAAAGAGGATGCCACTAAAACAATCCTATTTTCCCTTGAAACACGAAGCTGATCATTCGTAGGTTTATTAACTTTTCACAAAGCACCATCTGCAACCATGTTTTACACCCGAATCAAATTTAAGCATTTGTGTTGCTATCCGTAACGGTGCCAACAAAAATAAATAATCCGCTCCAAAAGATGTGCTTACCCTTCACTATCCAAATTTGCGGTGGAGCAAATCTCGTATATCAATCCCCCCATGGATGCCAAGATCCTTCATTCTCACCATAGTCACTGGCCATAAACCTCTTATGCTTATAGCAGAAGTTGACTATAACTATTGGAACAAATTAGCCCATCATAACAGTTTAATACTACTTAATATTCATCGCAAATCCTCCAAGTTTGATAATTTCTTAATTAACAACCGCATCAGCACTCGCCATATCTATGTCCCCTTTAATTAAAAAGTCCTAGATTTGTGAAGCTTTGTTCATGCGTCTTTTAACTTTATATAAGAAAGAGTTCTTCTCCATTTTTGCCGCATTGAGGTATTTACCAACCAAATTGCAGTCGATCTACTTGCTAGATAATAACTTGATATCAAGATACACTATTTATTTTTTAAAAATTATTGGATTATAGGTTTTCCTTAATGGTAATCTTTGGCTAAAGAACTAATTTGTTATTTTTACAAAACAAATTAAAAGTTAGATATTGACCATTTACATATTATAGTTTTGTTCTTTTTGCTTATTGTTCATAATGTTCGTCTAAAGTTATCTACTACTCACATGTATCGTTTTGCATTTATCGCACAATCGTCTAATAATATGAAATCAAAATAAAAATGAATCCTGTAAAAATATCAACAGTACTCTCCTCGGCCACTAAAAAGGTTATGGTAAAAAAAAATTAGTTTGTGCGTGTTATATATATAACAAAAATATTATTGTTTTGATCTTTACATGTCACTCACTGCTCCGGAACTTAACAATTTAGTGTAAAATTTTCTAAATCTTGTTAATGTTCTTTCCCATTTAATAATTACTTGCATTATTACAAATTTAATTTTAAAGAACAAAAAAAAACTATCTCAAAATTCTCTCAAAGAAAAACACCTTATTTTTAATGTTTCTTTTTGTATAGTACGCACCCAGATCATGATCATGATCAAATCCAGGCCGCTGTTCATTTTCAGGTTAAAAAGTCATCAAGGGACAAAAAACACTATAACCTTCTTATAGAACCTTATGTACAAAATGAGAAAAGTCAAAGGAGCAAAGCTGTAATTTCCTGTTGTCAAAATCCCGACAAACAACGGCTACCATTGTCCAAAACATTTCTTTTTTCAAAATTTGAAGTATCCCACAAAAATGTCATATTTCCCTCCCAACATTACCATATTTGAAAGACAAAATGGAAAATGTGAAAAAGAAAAAAGACGTAAAATTAAAGAAATAAAAGAGGAAAATATAATCAAAAAACAAAAAGACCCATAAACAACAACAAATTCAATCAAACAGCTTCCTGCTTCCCCGGAATTTGCCGCAATACCGGCCATGGAAGACGATGACCCAGAACCCATCTCGGCTTCCAAATTCCAGCCGCCGAATTTCGTAACCCTCTCCCCATTTTCCCCGACGGTTTCACCTTCTCCGCGCCGGCTTTCAAGCTGCTTCCTAGAGCCCAATCGGCCGATAAGGGCGGGAAGACAGCTTGCTTGGGTGTCTCTGCAAGGGCGGCTGATTGGAGCCGAGGAAGCCAGTTCTGCGAAGTCGATTACACGGGGAAATGGGTCGGTGTTAAGCCCGGAAGAGGCTATTTCCTGGGAACTTTTCACCCCCATTCACAGAATCCTTATCGTGGCCGTAATAGCGGTGGCTTCGGCGAACTGCCAGAGGAATAAGGAGATTATTCGGTTGAAAAAAGCGGTGGAATTAAGGGTAAGTCATCCGGATAAAACCATTTTGATTGTTAGTAAATCAATTGTAAAATGACATTGTGACATTCATAAGTATTAATCGAACTGGTTGTTAATGATTTTTTGTTTTCTTAAATTTTGGGAGGGGTTACATTACTGTATTAATGCTTGATATTATTCTAGTGAAGTTGTTAGAAACATCAGTATTAGAAAATTATTGATGGGTCTTTTCAATTTTCAAATAATGGGCGTCGAATCAGTAATTTATTCCGTTAGCATTGAAAACATTCTTCTGTTCTGAAAATAAATGGCCATGATTTTAAATTTGGAGTCTAATAATGGGCATTCAATCATTCTTTTTTTCTATGAGTTGCTTAGGGAGGCTGTAAATTGGTAGGTCTTATTCAAAAGTTGGAACTTGGAAGTGTGACCTTCAACTGAATATGGTCTTAGTACTTCAGAACTTTGGGTTTCAGACTGACGAGTTTTACTCCAAGGGAAAATCTTTGTAGATTATATTCATTCGTTGACACTTACTAAGAGGTTGTGGCTTGATTGAAGGTGTTTGTGTTTTGGCTATGTTATTTACATGCTATAAGTGAGGATTTTAAGTGTTGTCTCAACCGTATTGTAGGATCAGGTGCTTACGCGCATGCAAGAGAAGCTAGATATTCTGTGTGAGCAGATTAGTTATTTCAAGGATCAGCCTGAGCCAGCATCTGAGAACTATGGCTGTCAATTTTGTTTGAAACATAAATACAGACCTTGTAGCTTGGAGGTAATACTTGTATAACAACTTCAAATATTAGTTTTCCTTTCCATCTAATTGGCATTGAGCTGATACGGCATGAATTTGATTGTTTATTATCGTTGTATTTCCAGGATAATGCAGTAAAGACATCAAAAGGTGATGAATTGTTAAAGTACAAGTTGCTACCGACGTGTGAGGCAGAACCAGAGGAGCGACGCATGTCTGATCTTTCTGATTGGGCTCCTAGTATTCAGTCCTCTGTAGATTATCAGGTATTTATATCTGTAGCTTTATTGTCCCTTCATACTGATAGAGAATGAGCCCTGTATAACATTAACAAAAGATTAACATAAGCACCACTGATTAGATACTAAAAAATAAATTAAATTACACTCTTATCTAAGGAAATTCTTCTCCATACTCCAAAAGTTTGGTTCTTTCAGTTTTTGTAATTGGCTTTCGCTCTGCAATTATCTGAACCCAAACAGTGAGACAATGGCTTAGTTGCTGTGGACATGTCATCGCTTTAGCATTGTTAATGCACAATGTCTCTTTGTGGAAGCTCTTTGGTCAACAACTCAAATGGAATTTCTTAGTTGGATGTATCGTACTTCTGGAATCCACCCAGTTTCTCAATGTTTAGTTTGACCAGATATCTTGAAGTGGTTTAGAAACCAGTAGAAACAAGTAGCTTCGAAGATAGGTCTTTGAGAAACTCAACAGAATTGTTCGCTATGGAGTTCTCATTTTACTTCTTTACCACAACACTTCTCCTATTAATGGTTGCATGGTTTAGAATAGTAGGAACTGTTTGATTACATAATCTTAAAGGCTTTAGAAACAAGTTTTAGTTTTGAAGAGATCACTTCAGAGATCTCATTTTACTTCTTTTTAATCTTAACACTTCTCCTGTTTAATTGGTGCAGTTTTAGGAATAACAACATGAATAAGATTTTAGTTTCTATACTAGTAATGCTAAAAGAAGACCTTGTAGCAGCTAGCAGTAAGTTTTATTATCAGGTGAAACAAGATGATGTGTTCACGAGTCGATCAGGCATCTATTTGGTTTATATCATACAACGGCCTTAGGTTAGGTGTCAGAAAATTATGCTTAAACTTGATCTAGTGGTGCCAACTTTGAGAGTGTTTGTACTGAGAATGCCATCTGGTTTTGTCGATCCTGTCACTCTATCCTTCTTCTTGTTGTAATGTATTGCTAGCAACACAAAAAGGAAGCATAAATTTGTTTACCATCACTACTCACTGGTGCCAAGTTCCAGATGATCTTTACACAATACATATCTCATCCTCTCTGATTTCTGTTTTTGGTAAATTATATGACGATTCCTCTTTGTTCCTTGATATGAAATGCTTCAGCGTGCTATTGCTCTTCATCTTCCACATTTGCTTAGGTAATGGCATGGTTGTTCAGCATAACTGCATACAACACAGTTGACCTAACTTAGACACATTCAAATTCACATGGTGTGCAGAACCGACATCATACATTCCATTCCCTGTATGCTGCTGTAGTATCTCTATCCATTATTCATAATCGAATTATTGGAATGCTGACAATGTGGATATTTCTCTTAGGGCTGATTTCCTTTGCAGAAATGGGAATTCCATTGTTTTCACTCACCTTCCTCAAAATCTGTTCATTGTTGGTCATCTTCTTATGTCTTAAGAGCAATGGGGCTTCACATGTCATCCCCTACTAAGTACTCCCAAATGCAACACATATCCTCCTCCCATCTGGCTCTTTCACATTTAGGAAGATTGACTTTTATTTACTTTGAAAGTCTTGCATTTTTGGAGTATTACTTCGACTTATTTTCTTCGAATGTAAGAAGGTTAGGCTTAATAATTATGCTGCCTTGTTGTTTGGCAAGTACTGCTTCACTAAAAATTGATTTCTTGAATCCTAACTGCCATCCATTTTGCTTTAGCTAGTTAACTCCAGGATTCAAATAATTTTGTGAGTTCTTTCCTGCTTCGAAGATCTGACTGGAAATTTTTCTATCTGTATTGTCTTCTCCTTGCAAATATTGTACGAAAGTTGAAGCATGACATCAGTTAACCTAACAATGCTTGATTACGGCCTAAATCAAAATTTCCCCCCCTCTTCTCTAGCTATTTCAGAATTTTGGTGGATAAGAAAAGTGAGGGAGCAATGTATCAATCTCTAAAGCTCCTAAATATTTTTGAAAATTCACAACTCTGACCTGATGTGGAAACAATAATCTCTGGCTTAGAGAAAATACATATTCGATTGAACCCCAAGAGAGATTTATTGAACAAAGTCTTGTTTACTCTGTTATCAAATGGCTATGCAAGGCCATCCTATTCTTGTTCTACAATTTGTATGCATTTGACGTCTGGTAGCCCATGCACAGGTGGCCTTGGATATGTTAAGTTAGAACTACTGTAATAGTAACAAATTTGCATCCCAAACTATGAAGACCCGATTAACATTTTCCCACTATGATCTTGTGTTTTTCTAATAGATGAACTCCTCAGTACTGGATCAAGATATCTACAATCTCAGGAGAGAATGTGAAGAGAAAGATTCTACCATAAAGGAGCTGTCTACTTTTATTCGCTCATCAGAAGTTCTTGGCTCCAAGGCAAGGCTGCTTTTACTTCTAGCATCAACTGTAGCTAACACGTATTGTGTAGATCAGTGTTTCCTGTTCTCTTATAATTCTCATGTGTTATGTCTAACAGAGGATTGGAGAGTTGGAAGACTTAATACGTAGGAAGAATACGATCATTACCAAACTTAAGAAGGATATGATGGTGCTCGAACAAAAGGTGAGAAATCTTTGTTACAATTGCTCAATGTCTGATCTTCACATATTCATGTCGGGGGTTTTTTATTTTCCAAAAAAAAACTTGACTTAGTTTGTCTCCTATTTTCCGATGTTGCTCAAGAGATCTCCTTCTGCAAAGTTGGTGAGATCTATCTGTATCATCTCCTTAAGGAACATATGTTGATCTACCAGCTGTCTTAAGATTACTAGCTTTATAAGTTGAACATAAGTCTCCTTTATGCTGAAAATTAAAAGTCATGCATTGATTGAATACATGTCGGGGGTTTTTTATTTTCCAAAAAAAAACTTGACTTAGTTTGTCTCCTATTTTCCGATGTTGCTCAAGAGATCTCCTTCTGCAAAGTTGGTGAGATCTATCTGTATCATCTCCTTAAGGAACATATGTTGATCTACCAGCTGTCTTAAGATTACTAGCTTTATAAGTTGAACATAAGTCTCCTTTATGCTGAAAATTAAAAGTCATGCATTGATTGAATACATCGTGTTGGCATTGCCAGAGAAATTTCAACCTCTGAAATGATATTGCATCTTTATAGGTGGTATACCTCACAAGATCTCGTCGGCCCTCTTTCTCTACTTCAATCTCAAATGAGAGGCAGCTCCCGGCCATGGTCGATAACCTCCTCTACTATATGGACAGCAGTACTAGCCCTTCGTCCTCAGATTCAGATACCCCGTCTAGAAATGAACCAGATCCTACCGCTATTAGTCAACAAGTTCTTAAAATTCAGGGCTGTGCACAAGAAGCCAGAAAAATTGGACAGGCTAGAAACTCTGATCACCTAACAAACAATACCCAAAAGTTTCAAACTCCTAGTCCATTGAAGGAAAAATCATTAAACCTGACGACCAATGTGGATTCTGGTTCGAGGAGAGAGATGACTTCATCATTCAGTCATTCTAGGAGTAGGCGACGGGCTCCAGCCAGACCTAGGAGTGCAAGTACCCAGAAAAGATGGGTTTAGCAAGTATTTTTATCATGGAAAAATTTCACCTAAGAGTGTAAGTACCCAGAAAAGCTAGGTTTAGTAACTGTAATTGCTTAGAATGTAAATGTTGGATTCTCTGCTGTTAGTTTAGGATATCTTTCTCTATCTTTTGAGTAACTGTTCTTTAGGATAATTCTTCTCTATATTTTGAACTGCTTGATCCGAAAACATCTACTCCATCTTAACATTCCTTTGAAGTTTGAACGGATGGGTTTGAAGGAGTTTAGGGGGGACACAGTTCTGCCCTTTCTGTTAGTGATTTTGATGATGCTGGCGTAATTTTGCTCGCTGCCCATGGCCTAATTTTGCAGTGGCTGGCGAAAATAGCAATTCATATGGCCTTGAAAAGGGCAAACCGAATTTCTGTAGCTTGACGTTACTGATTACTCTGATTTCATGGATGGTTTAAAAAATGGGCTTCCGGTGAATATTAACGGTAGAAAATAGTAATATTATAGGGAATGCAAGTGTAATAGTAATTAGTCAGTTTGGGGTTTGAGGGGGTAATGTTGTTGGTATTCCAGTCGGGTTACAAATTTCACAGCACCCTCCGCTACATAGAAATTGATGAACAAGGAGGACTTGGTTAATGATGATGATGACAATAGTTTTAAGTTGAATTGTTGAGATCCCTTCATGGATTAATTACTCCCCTTGTAAAAAACAACTAAGAGTTTGGGTTTATGTCTGCGACGATAAGCAATTCATTAGGACTTGAACCAAGCAATCTTCATTGAAACACATTTCTGGGCAGTAAAAGGAGCAGCGAAAAAAAAAGGAAGAGCAACTAAACTGTGAGTGAAAATTCCAAGTGATTTTAAGTACATAATATACGAAATCTATATGATGGAATATCTAAGAAGTTTATATAGTATATATTCATACAAATCTTCAAATTTTAAAAGAAAATATTAATAAAAAATCTAAATAAGTTCGTGCTTGTTTGGACGTCAATTTACATTTCATTTTGTCACTTAAAAGTGAAAAGTGTTTCAAATTGAAAACTAAATGGGAAATAAAAATGTTGTTTGGATGTTGGTTTTGAAAAAAAGTATTTTGAACTATATTTTGAAATATCAAGTACAAGTCCTCACTAAACAATTAAATACTGTCAATTATAGTTACTGTAAAAAAGAATTTTTCCAAAAACAATTACTCAATAACGGAATCATGCCAAATTTGTCACTAAACTATTTGTAGTTCTAAAATGGTCATTACACTAACAAAAAGTGTTTCAAGTTGGAATTTAAAATGTAAATCAGAAATTTGTTTGGATGATGTTTTCTTGTCCATTGAATTTTGTGTTTAAGAGGTAAAATGAGTGAAAATATAAAATGAGTTGATGTCCAAACAAGGCTTTCATCGTTATTTATGATTTGAAATTTGCCGCATTAGTCTTATATGCGCACAATATTCAACAACAGCAAAAATAAAAAATTCAAACCCTAGCCATTGTAATCAAGGATCAAACCCGTAATGGGTCAGAATAGCTAAGGAAATCGGAGTCAGGCCATTTAATTTGATCCTCAAATTCATCATTCATCAAGAATGGAACAAGGCCGGCAAAACTAGATTCCACCTCTGAATTCAATTTTGGTTCCCTCATTTGCCAATGTTGTTTCATCCTTGCTTGTGCCTTCTCTTCCTTCTTGCTTGTGTTTACCATTATTATTTTTACTTTTGATTGTACAACGAGAATCTATTGACGGATTGTCACAAGGAGAGGCAACAATTTGGGATTTTCCTAAAATCGGTTTGTGAGGAGGTTCAAGAAAGGATTTCAAATCTTCAGCAGCTTTTTCTACTTGGGCCTCATCCAACCCATTTCCAACTCCAGGCAATGATTTTAAGAAGTCCCAATCTAGCAGATTTTAATATTTTATTTGAATAAAAAATGAGAAAGTAAAAACAACTTAGTTAATAGAAAAAAGTTTTAATCGAGCAAACGGTTGTGTAATTACCTATTCCGTGGTTGTGTTCTTGTAGCGAATTTCTGGTTTCAGTTTCTTGATTAGGAACTGGCAAATTTGGTGGTGAAGTCGGAATCAGATTTCGATCCAAATCATAAACAGAGATAGTACTTCTCTGACGGCTGTTCATAATCAATTAACGGAAATTAAGCAAGATCTATAAATGTAATTGATTTTTTCTTTGAAGATATATGTGTTTAGACATCTACCTTGTTGAGTCAACATGCGAGACATGATATATAGCTGCCTGTTGAAATGTTGCCATTGCGCCTCCTGAAAATGAACATTGTTCTAAAATCCATGAATGATTCTACACAAATTGCAGTATATCGCTTAAGATTGTGAAGTCACAACAACTTTGCCCATTAACTTTTTGGTAAAACTAAGACGTTTTATACCAATAATAAATATATAAAATTAGCACAAGCATTAAATTTGGAAAAATAATAAAGAAAAATCCGGTTCACATAACTTCATAGTAATTAATAATTAATTACCAAAAAAATTAATTTAATAATTAGGACACCAAAAAAGAAAAAAGGAAAAAGAAAAAAGAAGTTAACAATTATGAAACTAAAAAAGTCAAAAGTGCCACCAGCCATGGAAATTGATCTTTGCCAATCTTGAATGCATAAGTTACATGAATTAGGATCCAATCTAGCATAAAGTCGATGAGGAGGAACTATTTCATGCATCCTACAAATCACATCAAAGCAATATTGAAATATGCAATAAAAAAATCAGAAAATTTATTAATTTCAATTTCATTGTTTATTCTCAGCTTCTTCAAAAATCAACTTGGAAAATCATCCAGTAGAGTTTCAGCAAACATGAGCATTTTCAAAGCAGGTGCTGTATTGAGTGTTGATCAACATATGCAACTAATCAAGCCAATAACCAGGGAGGAAATCAAAGCAGCTATGTGGGATATTCACAGCAATAAGTGTCCCTGCCCAGATGGTTTCGGGAGCGGCTTCTATAAAGTTTCATGGCCAGTGATTGGGCAAGATGTAAGCAGAGCCATTCTGGAATTCTTTAATACAGGTCCAATTCTTAAAACAAATCAACTCTACCTGTCCCGTTTTAATTCCAAAAGTTGCTGTGCCTGAAAATGCAGGTCATTATAGACCAATTGCGTACTGTAATGAATTATATAAGTGCATTTCTAAAATCTTATGTAATAGATTGACAGATGTAATCTCAGTCCTTGTTTATGAAAATCAAAGTGCTTTTGTTAGGAATAGGCTGATTTTACATAATGTACTTTTATCCTAAGAGTTGATTAGATTATATAAAAGAAAAGGGATTAGTGGAAGGATGATGATGAAAATAGATATTAAGAAAGCTTACGATTTGGTTGAATGGGGGGTTTTTAGAGGAATGTTAGATGGATTTTGCTTTCCTAAATTGTTTAAAACTTGGATTATGGCCTGCATTTCAACTCCAACGTACACTCTGGCTTTGAATGGTAGCTTAGTTGGTTTTTTCCCTAGGAAACGAGGATTACGCCAAGGAGATCCTGTGTCTCCTCTTCTTTTCGTAATGGTTATGGAATATTTGACAAGGGGCTTAAGCATAGCAGCAACCCATCCTAAATTTAAGTTTCATCCCTCTGTAAAGCTTTAAAACTTTCCAATATCTGTTTTGCTGATGACCTTATGGTCTTCTGCAAAGCAGACAGCTTTACTGTGTCCACTATTATGGAAGTGTTAGCAGATTTTTCTAAAACTAATGGCCTGATAGCTAACATTCAGAAGTCTGAAGTGTATTTTGGTGGAGAGGATAGCAACTTCCAGAAGATTCTGTATGATTTAACCGGTTTAAAACCTGGTTCATTCTCTATGAGGTATTTAGAAGTCCCGCTTTCTCCCAATAAATGGTCCCAAGCTGAGTGTCAAAATGCTGGAGTAGTCGTCACCTCTCTTATGCCGGTAGACTGTTGCTGGTGAACTCTGTTTTAATGGCAATGTCTAGATACTGGGCTTCCACCTTCATCTTGCCACAGAGTATATCTAGCAAATTCAATAGTATCTGTAAGGACTTTTTGTGGGGTGTGACGAGTTCGGGTAGATCTTTGGCTCTCGTAAGGTGGGTGGATGTATGTAAAAGGAAGGCGCAGGGTGGACTGAGGGTTAAAGATGCTAAAATATAGAATAAAGCTGCGTTGTTAAAGCAAGTTTGGGCTATTGCAATGAAAGAGGATAACCTATGAGTTAAGTGGGTTCATGGGGTTTACTTGAAAAGGAACAACATCTGGGATACGCTACCTAAAATAGATGATAGTTGTCATTGGAAAAAATTGCTGAAGGTAAGGGATCAAGGGAGGAATGGCTTCTGTGGTAACTCTTGGAAAGGAACGAAGCATGGCAAGTACACTATTGGTACATGTTATGACTGGTTTACAGGTGAAGGGAGCAGATTGCAGTATCTAAAGTATGCGTAGTCAAGGTTTAATATGCCTAAACACGCTTTTATCTTTTGGTTGGTCCCGAAGGGAAGACTTCTGACAAGAGACATGCTTGAAAGGATGCGAATTGTTGTTAATGATTCCAGTTGTTTATTGTGTGGGAAAGTTGATAAATCGATTTCTCATCTCTTTTTTGATTGCTATTTTTCTGGTAGTTTGCTTGACTTGGTACTTAGCTGGTTGGGAGTTCTCAGAATGTCAAAAGCATACCAGAGGTGGACCGTGCTGTTGATAAATACTTGGAAGCACACAAGGTTCAAAAAATTGGTGCTGAATGCTGCTATGGCTGCATCTATATATCAGATATGGCAGGAAAGAAATCAAAGACTTTTCACTGGGAAGAAAAGAGAGGTGCAGGAACTCTTCACTCTGTTGAAGTATGAAGTTAAAGCAAGGATTATGGGATGCAAGAAGTCTAAGTTTACTGTTAAGGAAAGATTGCTTTGTAATAGTTGGTTTCCACTGTCTTTGCCTCGATGTAATAGAGTTAGAATGATTTTTAGATGTGTTGGAACTATGTAAACTGTGTTTTTCATGGTGATCTTAATATATTTTCACCTTCACTGGAAAAAAAAATTCATTATTTATGAAAATTATATTAATATTACAAACTACAAACCAAGATGAAAATAACAACCAAGAATTATGAATCTAATCAGTTTCCTTGGGATGGTGGTGGTAGTGGTGAGGGAACCGGAACTAACGTGTTCAATCCATGTTGTTTTTTTGCCTTTGATGATGAACTCCAGCTCCAGAGTGAGGTCTTCTCCTGTGTGGGCTACTACTGCTACTGAGTAACCTAGATCTTTCTTGTTGGATAACCCTATCCTGACGACCACCGCTTCCTTCTCTTCTATTCGGCACTGAATTTCAAATTTGAAGTGAAACATTAGCTCGCGGAACTGTTTGATCTTCATGATTTTCCTCGAGAATCATCTCTGGGTGATCCTGAGGGTTTTGAGCTCTTAGTGAAGAACTTGAACTCGCATTCATTGATGATGAGGGATTGTTAGACATGATTTTGGGATTTGGATGTCAAAACTGTTCAAAATTTTTGGAGTTAAAGGAAAATCTTTATAACATTTTAGTTGATATGCAATGGGGAATAAGAAGAAGAAAAAGAATATAAGCTATGATTTTCTGGCACTCTACTATTTAAATGTGAATTTTGAAGATGAGTACGCATCCTATTTGGCTCATTATAAAAGATCAGTGAGAATATAATGAAAGAAAAGAGAAAGATTTGATAATGAAAATGTAAAACATAGTGGTGACCTCATGATGCCATTAGACATTTGTTCAACGAAGTTGCCAACAGAGAAAGGCGAGAAATTTGGAAGAAAAGACGTATCCGATTTTCTTTCCACTGTATTTTTTTTTTGGAAGGTTACACAAGTGTTCATGTAAACGAAACTTGTCTAAAAATCATATAGATTTTACAATCTATTGGCCGATGTGATTTTCCCGTTAGAAAGTTTATTAACTATTTTGTGTCAGTCGAGTTTTTGTTGTATAGTCAACATTGGTATTGATTTTGGCATCTGGATTACTTATATCTGTAATTGCTAGATCTATAAGACTTTAATGATGTAATGATCATATGAGAAATAGTGTAAATGTTACCAATCACCCTTTTAATATGGTTTCCAATTTTATTTAAATAAATCTTTAGATAAAGAAAATACATTTTTTTTTTGGTTTACAACAACTCGGTAATTATGAGGCTATAATTCTAATATGTAGTTTAATGTTGTGAGGTGCAAATCACTGACTAAGAATCTCAATATAGTATATGTCCAAAGACCTAATGAACAACGGTTGAAGATTTACTAGAGCCGCAAATTCATAATTGAAGTGATAAAAATGTAATATTATTATATGGTACAAATCAGAGAACCATAAATTATTATATGTATGGTATAAATCAAAAGTGCATAAACAAAAATCTTCTCAAAGAATATAGCTAATGATATATTTTTCTTTTAACTAATGTAACTATATATGTAAGCTATCACATTTTCATATATAAAAATTCAATTCTCATACATATCGTTAAATTTTACTAGTATTTAATCACTTAACCTACATCATTCTATGTTTAAACCATTTTGTCAAATAGGGAATTTTCTCTACATTGTTGTATTTCATATCCTCGATGTTCTTGCTGAACATCCTCATAGAATTTAATTGAAATGATAATTTATAGTTGTTTTCTAGAGCAAGGGTTAGTTATTGTGAATGTTTTAGTATGAATTGGTATTTGTAAACACAACAAATTTTAGATCGAATTTAGAAGTGTTGGTGAAAAACTGACGAACGAAATTTGAAAAGGTTTGCTAATGATGAAGAAGAAAGTGGAAGTGGTGATGATCCAATTTTACTTTTGATGACGTGTAGATTTAAGACAAGTTCAAAAAAAGTGAGAAATTTGTGGAAGAAATGGATATGTGATTTTTCTTTCTTTGTGTTAATATGTGAGAGCTTAATTAAGTTTCATAATAGATAATTTCAATGAAAATTTAAATTAAGGGCAGTGGAGAAGTCTAAATTAATGAAAGGGTTACAACTTCTACATAATTTTGATCAAGGGCAATAAATTATTTCTTAAAAATAATAAAATAAAAATATTTATGTTCTGAAATGATGCCCTTATTATTTTATATCACCTACCGAAAAAAGCCAAAAAATTTATCATGCCGCTCCAGCCATCTGCACGTCTCGCTTAGAACAATAATAATTTCATCTATGGATTCAAAAATATATTTGTCACATTTTCCAAATTAGTTATGTCTACATTGAGGTGATTACACAAATGTTAAAATCCTTTGAACTTGAAAACAAGCAAAAAATATTTATCTAACATTAAAAATAGTGACCTCATGTTGATCATAATATAAGTCCCATGTGCTACTCCCCAAATTGCTGATTATTTTTGAAGTGAAACTATATGTGGACTAATGTGGGTCTTCAAGAAGGTTTCAGAGTGGGTTTTCGTCCCGTGGACTTGTGGTGGACTTTGACCGATCCAACTATTTATCCGTTTTGACTGACACGAATTGGGTCTTTGATTTACCCTTATTGGGTTTTGATTGTCACATCAGACGATCAGAGCATAAATATTTTTATTTACCATTTCAGGAAATAATATATCGCTTCTAATCCAAATTATAGAGAATTTATATCTTTTTTATTAGTTTAGATCTTTCCAGTGCTCTTAATCCAATTTTTTTAATTTTAATTTAGGGAAAACTACATTTTACCCTGAGTGTAGGTCCAAACTTATATTATTAATCACAGATTAATTCATTTATTAACTTATATTATAGTTAAATTAAAAATGATAAATTAAATAATGTTCATTTTAATGATAAAGAAAAGAAAAACAAAGTAAAAGAAAAGAAAATAAAGGGTATGTAAACTATGGTTATTTTAGTCATTTTAATATTTAGCCCCCTACCTGGTTCAGCAAAAGCCAATCTTCAACTCCTAACTCGCAAAATTGATGCAAACGATCCGCTGGAACCAACCTTCTCCAAACAGAAATTGCGGCAGGACAATCCCTAAAAGCAACTGACTCCTCAACTACACCACAGAGGTCACATATCGGAGACGGAGCAAGATGTCGACAATGGCACTCTACATTAGTCAGAAGTTTGTTCCGTCCAGCCAGCCACAAGAAATTACGAACTCGTTATGGCCCACCCCACTTCTAGACAACCCTCCAAAGACGCTGCTGGGTAGGCTGTGTTAAATTAAAAACAGCCTTATATGCCGATTTCAAGGAAAACCGGCCATTTGGGTACCAACCCTAATATCCTTTGTCACTCTCTGATGAATGAAGCACTCGAGCAATTCTCATTAGTATAGTTGCCGGAAGCAAATGAGAGAAAGCGTTCCATTTCCACCATCCACCTTCATCAACAAAGGAGTCCACTGTAGCATACAACATAAATTCTGGCACCGGTGCAACCGCTGAACATATCAATGGTTCTGAACAGTCGCACCAACGATCCCACCAGAACAAAACTTCTTTCCCATTTCCAACAGACCATCTCACCTCTCATCATCAAATTCCAAACCTTACCCAAAGCTTTGATCACTAATGACCCTTTCGGAAACAGAGAGCGACTTTGCATAGTAGAGGGGGTCCAAACTATATTTCGCCTTCAACACTTGAACCCATAAATCCTCAGGCTTAGTCAGAAAATTCCAGGCCAATTTCATCAGAAGGGCTTCATTCATATGCCTCATGTTTCACAAACCTAGACCTCCACAATTATTAGGTTTACAAACATTATTCCAATCAACTAGATTCACTTTCCATTTCCCCTCTGTGCCAACCCAAATAAATCTACAACACTTCTATTCTATTCCTCGCAAACCACACCAGCAAGCACAGTGATTGCATAGTATAATACGACAAACAACTGGCCACCAACTGAGTAAGTGTGACTCGTCCGGCCATAGAAAGTGAAGACGCCATCCATCACGACAGACGACTCTCTGATTTCTCCAAAATACCTCCAAAGTACTCGACTTCACTCTATTAAGGATCAATGGTAGACCAAGGTATTTACCAAGGTCGTCAACCTCAGTAAAGCCTAGAATCGTACTCAAATCTTGCCTTTTATCAACAGACACATTCCTAGAAAAGAAGATTCTAGTTCTCGAGTCACTTACTTTCAATCCTGATCTTGTGGAAAAAGCATCAATCACACGTCGGAGAATCACAGCCTGATCAACCAAGGCTTCAATAAAAAGTAACAAGTCATCGGCAAATATCAAATAGGGAACCCTAACCTTGCCTCTACCAACCGAAATTGACTTCCAGTGACTGGCTGCAACAGATTGCTGAATCAAATGCACTAGTCGTTCCATACAAATAAAAAATAGGTATGGAAACATGGGGTCTCCTTGTCGTACTCCTCTTAACGGAATAAATGGATCATTAATCAATCCATTAAACTGCAGCTGCAGCAAAGCCTAAGCAATACAGGTCATATATAACTCCTCTGACAATAAACTCAGGAAAGCCCGCTAACTGTAGAGTTTCTTCAATAAAGTCCCATCGAAGATAATCGTAATCTTTCTCCAAATCAACCTTCACTACCATATAACCCTTTTCACCTCTTTTCATTCTCATTGAGTGAATCAATTCTTGTGCCGCCACAATTTATCAGTGATCTGACACCCTGGAATAAAACTTACTTGTGCTGGCCCAATCATGTTATGGAGGCGAGATTTCATCCTGTTAGCCAGTATTTTTGTAGTCATTTTATACACAAGATTCAACAAGCTAATAGGTCTGAAATTTTTAATGTCTTGTGGATCTTTCAACTTTGGAATAAGGACAATCAAAGTATCATTAAGGCCCGGAGGCATTACTCCATCATGTTGGATATTTCATACTAACTTGCACACAGACGGACCAACCCCTTTCCACTGTTTTTGAAAGAAATCGCATGCAGCCCATCAATCCATGGCGCTTTAAGTGGAGGCAGTTTAGAGAGTGCCTGGTAGATCTCTGCATCTGATACCTCACCAAATATTTCCTCAATAATGGTTCTCTCTATAGCTAAAAACACACTACCCCAATTTGGAGCTCCATTCCATGGCGCACTTGCCGTGTAGATACCACGGAAATAATTCACTGCAATCGACCGCATCTGACTTTGATCCTCCGTTATATTGCCATTGTCATCCCGTAACATCAAAATTTTAATGTGACTACGTTGGGTTTTAACCTTACGATTAAAATAGGAAATGTTCCTATCTCCAAAAAGTGTCCAATGCCTCTTTGATTTTTGAATTAAAAGAATCTCCCTCCTCCTGCACCACTACTGCCTCTAGGTCTGCTCGGAGCTCCTTATCCAAACGTACAAGTTTGTCAGAATGGTAATACTGCAGACATCTTTGAATTCCAGCAAGCCTAGCCAGCATAGTTTTCTTGCGCTAGAAGATGTTACCAAAGACCTTAAAATTCCAAGGACGTACTTGAGTCACAAAATCGCGAACAAACTCCTCATAGAATTTTCCTTCAGTCCAAGCATCATTCACAAGCCCCACAAATCCATAATGAAGAAGCCAAGATGCCAAAAACCAAAAAGGTATAGGCCCACTTTCCAGAGAAACCGAGCCATCGACTCGCAGCACCAAAGACAAATGCTCAGACTCCATGCATGGCAAGTGTCAAACCATGCATGTGTTGTACTTATCCAACCAGTTCTCATTACTAACAAACCGATCCAATTTTTCTGAAAGATCACCCCTAAACCATGTGTATTTAGTACCATCCGTAGGGAGTTCAATCAAATTGTTGTCAAAAACCCATTTCCCATACTCTGGATTAAAATGACTATTCCGGGATGAACCACCTTCCTTTTCTAAGATTCTCAAGCGGCTATATAAAGTCACCACCAATCAACCGTGGACTTTGTATATTTTGAGCCACCAACCCTAAATCCCGCCACAGAGACGACGACGTTGGGGATTCGGACTAGCATACACAAAGGTAGCAAAACAACATCGTTATCCATCCTAATATGAGCATGTACAGATTGCTTATGACACAATAGAATTTGGACAGTCACCCTCTCTTTCCAAAGAACCCATATTCTAGCAGAAAACCCCACAGCCTCCACTCTGAAAGAGCGATCAAAACCACTCTTCTGAATGAACTCATCAGCATTAGAACCACTAATTCTCGGCTCTAAAACCGCAACCACATCTGGTTTGTAGACATTAATAATAGTTGAGAAAGCCCGGTTAAACTCCACCGAGGCTGCTCCTTGTACATTCCAAGATAATATAATCATTAAAAGATAATCCAGGGAAAAAGAGGGTGACAACCGTCAAATTGAGCTAGGAACCATAGTCCCCAGTTCCATAAGATCATCATGCCTCCCCACCAAACCCTTATCCGGCAAAGAGGTCATTCCATCCGTTTCCATACTCATCACCTGACTGTAAAAGAAACCATCAGGACCAGAGGAATTGTTGTCATGAAAATAGGATTGTCCATAACATGAACTGCATTGTGCTTCAATGGATCTAGTACCGATACCACCGGTAACAGAGTATGACCCGGTGTACTTGACATCTCACTCCTCTCATCCTGAACAAGTCTCTCCCCTCTAACTTCTACCTCATCCACCTCCACTTCACCCCCATCCTCAGCCATTTTTTCCACCTCATTCTGGATGCTCAGCTCCTCTACATTTACCACTTCCTCAGTCGCCTTCTCCACAACCTTCGGCATACAGCTCTCCTTCCCCTTTCACCCCCGGTTCACTACCCGCCATTCATCCCTCATCCCTGTATTTTCATGTCGCTTTTCCTCCCCCTTCGACCCTCCTGTATCCCCACCAGGAGAACTCTTACCCACATGGAACTCACTGTTCTGCTCAAAACTCCTCTCAATCACCTCCTGCAAGACACCAAATCTGGATCCCATGTCTCCCAAATTGTTGTTTTGCTTAGAGGAGTTAACTATTTCCTTCTGTGTTCTCCTAGTACCTGTTGGAATAATCCAAATACTGTAGAGACCTTCACATCAAATTATTGAGAACTATACGAAAGCGGAAGCGTACCTTAATCTGTAGTGGCAAGAACATCGATCCGGTTTGGTCTTCCAGATGATTCCGTCAAACCCTTGCGGGAACCTCTGACAAATGGGGAGTCGAAGATTTGGCATGATGGCTCATCGGGGGACCACAACCAATATATAATAGGGTTTCTGGTTCCACCCATCACAGAACAGGAAACTGGGCCTTAGAGTTTCTACACAATACTGGGCCACACCTTATAACTTAATTATTATAATTAGCCCAAACTTTAGTTGATTTAATTAGATCACTTTATGTGGGCTAGTATTTTATGATAGCTTATAACATACAATTATATATATTAGTGTATAAAGTCCACATAGATCTTACAATCTCCCACTTGGACTATACATCATATATATACCTTATAATTGTATATTATACCAAAAACTTAAGAGGGCGCAGAATTTGCAATCATAAAGTGACTTAAACAATCCCGTCCATTTATTATATAAGCATAGGATCAAAGGAGCAGTCGTTGCACGAATGACAACTAAACCCATCAGTGGTCACATACATTAATATAACTAAATGATGTGCATCAAGTGTGAATGTGTAGCATGGAAATTTCATATAATGTGATCTTTAACATGTCTATTTCCAACTGGTCCTCCTTACACTTTAGTGAGATCAACCAAAGTTTCAAAATGTAAGCACACTGAAAAAACTTAACCTTATACCTTAAACTTTACTTGAGACTTTAGACTTTGTACTGCAGTATTAATTAATATCTGAATGTTCATAATTGTATGAACCCTTAGTAAAACCAAAATTACAAACTCCCACTAAACCGTCATATCATCAGATTACACAACACTCATTTAAGCAAGATACTTACTGAATACCTTAGCTGAAGTAATCTGTGATATTGGAGTTTGTCCGAATGTGCTCCTTAAAAATTTGTTCATTCTAAACTTAAATCTAACAATTAAGAACTTAATGTTCATTGTTATTAGAGTATTTGAATTGTTGCATTATTGTCACATTAAAACTTAAGTAGTCTTTTTAAGACCATACTGTATTTGCAGCCTTGTGACAATATCGACAACTAAACTAAATCGAAGTCGGGATACTGAATGATCTCTAACTTGACCGAACTTCGATATGTGAGCGTGTAATCTTTAATGTCTTAATGATTCCGTGTAACCTTGTAGCTGCTACTAAATATGTAAATCTGAATTTTTTTATTTATTTATTACTAAGTATCTGCCTTAAACTCCCATTGAAATTGTGATGTGTATAATCATCACAATATTCACCTCAAAACCAAATGAGATGAAAACTTAAAAGTACTTGAGTTATTAACATAAAACTTTTTTAAGTCCTTAGATGGATTTCTTTAATTTGCAAACCATCAAACAAAATTTTTTGGTTGCACCAAATAAATTGTCTCAAAATATCGCCATTAAGAAATAATCTTTTAATATGCATCTAATGAAACCCGAATATAAAATGTACCATATATGCCATCATAGAATGTCTTAAAATTTGGACTTCCACAAATAAAGAGAAAGTCTCTATATGATAATGCCATCTTTATGACTGAATTCTTTATTGAGAAAATAAATCTACATCACCTTTGGGTAATGAGAAAAGAACCTAAACGTTATTTTTATCAATTACTGTATTTATTTATTTTATGGCATTAATCGTCACTGTATTTCTTCTCTCTCTTTTGGATTCCCTTAATGGCATCTATACTTGAGATTGTTGAGTTTGTCGTTTACAATTGTCTTGATGAGGGAAATTTTTAACACTATCTTAAATTACCATATGAATAGAAAAATATTCCCTTTAAAGATAATGTCATTAACCTTATCTTCCCCTTCAAACTCAATATTCTCAAGAAACTAGATATTTCCTGTCTAAAAGAAGGATTATTTTTGGGATCTTAGAACTTATATCCCCTAGATATTTTAGCGTGTCCAACAAAATAGCAACAAACTGAATCCAGTTTTGTTCCTGTAGACCTATGCGACCTTGCCTTAACCGGATAACTCGAAATATGGAAATGCCTATAGCTAGCTTGTTTGCACTTTTATGTCTTTTTTCTTTTAGTGAGTTTAACTAAATTGTAGAACTTGTCATACTACTTAGCCGATTCTTTAGTTTCCGAATTCATCTAATAATAACACTATTAATAGTAGTACTTTTCGGCATAGTGATACTATATGACATACCATATTCACTAAGAAATTTGACCAGACCCTAGACATAGTTCACCTAATACTTAATCAGTTTATAAAATGTATTTAGTCTTAAAACTTTGAACAAGTTTAGACCTTAGTACTTCCTAGTAATGGTAAAGAGGTAGCCCTGGGAAGTTGTTTGGGAACATAATACAATATGCTTGACCATTCTAAAAGAAGACCGTAAAGAATGGTTTATATATATCCATATGTATTAGTTCTAACAACATCTAAAAATCTTATGCCACCCAATCTTATTTTGTTTGTTTGTTTTGCTTACTACACTTAACTCAGATTTTGAAATCTGATAAGTCAAGTGGAATTCCGACTAACTTTATTATTTGTCTAAAGCAAGTGCCTTAAACAGTTTTACCAAATTGATACGAAATTCCCATTAGCAAATTTTCTTTTAGTACCACATGAATTATCATGCAATGTTTGGTTAATTGAAGCAATGGTCTTAAGTAAATAAAGGTTACCATGACTTAATAAAGAACTGAATTGACTTTCTTTGAATTTTGAAAGAGGCAAACAAACTGCCACCAAAAAAAAAAAAAACAAAAGTAACCGTATTTTGTTCAATATGGAAACATAAATAAAAATTCCATTTAAAGATGGTACAACAAAAATCTCTTTCAAAACCAAATAAATTTCAGTCTTTTAGTGATAACCTAAAAAATTTTATTGACTCAACTGTAATTGTCTAACCTATGCGCCATATAGATGTGTCTTTCACCATCAATTTGCTTTGGTGATTCACAACCAAACATAATAAATACACTTATATGAGTAGTAGTACCGGAGTCTACTCACTAAATATGCTTAGCTAGGTACCAAAAAAGAATGAATCTTAAAACGAACAAAAAACAATTACTACATAATTTCAAGTCAAACAAAGAAGCACCACCAAAAAAGTAGCAACCAAATTTGATTTCCTAATTTTGCTTCTTTTGTGATACGATATATTGCAACTTAATTATCCTTCTTTTCCTATTTCTTTATTTTTTAAATGATTTAAACTTAATTGAGCACTTATTGATTCTTCTTTATTTTCCAAATGTATATTCATCTCTTTAATTCCCCTTCTTGTACACAATATGAAATGAACTCATTAAGAGTCCATTCTACTTAATAACAGTAAAACTGTTCTTATAACCGAATCTCACTGTGTATGAGAGAGATCAAATATAACTTTGGTACCTTAAATCTTAATTCGAGATGATACTTTGAATAATACATGTTCGTATATATGTTCCCTTTTCCCCTTTTTCTTAACGGAGTTATCTAAAGCAGATTTAACCAAAATAGCAGAATCAACTGTCTTAAAAATTAACCAAACACAAACTCACATTTAAAATCTAAAATGACATGATTAATAAATTCAAATTTGGCATTCCCATTTATAAGATACCTAGAATAACATTGGATTTAGTCTTTGGACAGAAACACCAATTCACAAGTGGTACTCGTGGCGTAGTAATCAAATATTGACAATTTAGTCCTGTCAAATAATAAGCCTTTCTTTGGACCGACTTCTTATTCACATGAAAAAACCTAATAACTGTCATATTTATTACCACAAGTATGTTTAATTTCGGCCAAATAATAACCTTCCTTTTGGCCGATCATTACCCGCATGAAATAAAACACACAACTGTCATCCTAGTATTTTAAATTAATCAATCAATACAGAAAAAGTCACTTTGGCGACATATTATATCATTCAATCAATTTAAAAAATACTAGATATCTGAAGATAGGTTTCTTTATGCCAAAATTTGATTTTAATCACATTAAACTGTAATCCTAAAATTTGAAGGGCAAAGCTAAATTTTCCTTAATCAACTAAAAAGTTGACCGAAACCATATATGATCAAATCATAATTAGGCGATGCATATAGTCTATATTTGCTTAATTTGCTTAATAGTTGATCCAGTAGTTGTTTTTTTATTTTAAAATACCCAGTGAAGGAAAACTTTGCACTAATTAATTACCGTAATTATGCTCCTGAAGCACAGAAACCAAAACTTTATTTTTATTATCCTTTTTGAAAAATAAAGTATTTTCTTTATTAAACAGATTATGGTTGACCGAAGCACTACTGGCGACTAAGAAACAAAATTAATACAAACGGCTTTGGGCGAGCAATTTGTATACCAAAAACTTGATCCACATTTTTCCTTAAGCAATAATTCTGAATCTAAATTTTTTTTTTCTTATATTAAAGGAATCTGAACAACTTTCTCAATTGATCAGCAACGATTTGTTGAGGCCGCCTAATTTCCAGAATCCATAAGCAGTAATCGGAATGGCCAAAGGTAATTAATTGATCAAAATCAACAAAGAAATTTATAAATCACAATTGACTCCCAAAACTAAAACTTGATCCCGTAACAAACACCAAACTTGATCAAAACCTCTGGAGCATTAATGCCCTTAATCCAAATATCAATGTAAAACCGATCCAAAAAACAAAAGAGGACAAAGTAAAGTCAACAAAGCTTTAATGAGTTTATTTTGATCTGCCTAAAGACAGAATTAAAAACCAAACCTTAATCCTTATTAATGTAAGAATCCAATCGCCGAACAGAGATACCACCATTTTTTTAAAACGATGTTAATATCACTGATATTGGTCCCAAGATTAATTGTTGAAAATAATTAACAAATATATACAGATCAACAATACGAAATTGATCGCTAAAACCGAAACTGATTTGTAAAGGCTGAACGACTATTCAAGAAAACAAATCTGATCCCAAAAATAATCAATTTTGTAATGGTAAACATATTCAAATAATTTTATACAGTTAATCTGAATCATTATAAAATCTACTATGAGAAGATTCTTAAAACCGTAGAACTAATAATCCAATCTAGTCGTGCAGGCGAAACCGTAAGCCAGAAGGTTAAAACTTTTAATCTGGATCCTTAATCGAATCAACATCTAAAGTGCGTCCGATACCAACGCACACGATTGGATTTATAATGTTACCGAATCACAAAAAAAATATGTAAACCGAATTTCCCAATAATCAACATGAAGGTTGCTCCGATACCACTTGTTGGAATAATCCAAACACTATAGAGACCTTCACATCAAATTATTGAGAACTATACGAAAGCGGAAGCATACCTTAATCTGTAGCGGCAAGAACATCGATTCGGTTTGGTCTTCCAGATGATTCCGTCAAACCCTTGTGGGAATCTCTGACAAATGGGGAGTCGAAGATTTGGCATGACGGCTCATCCGAGGACCACAACTAATATATGATAGGGTTTCCGGTTTCACCCATCACAAAACAAGAAACTGGGCCTTAGAGTTTCTACACAATACTGGACCACACCTTATAACTTAATTATTATAATTAGCTCAAACTTTAGTTAATTTAATTAGATCACTTTATGTGGACTAATATTTTATAATATCTTATAATATAGAATTATATATATTAGTGTATAAAGTCCACATAGATCTTACAATACCACCCTTACTCTTACTATGGGCTGTAGACCACTCCCCTTCTTTGTCAAACCCGTGACAGAGATGGACCAGCAGGTACCGCTGTAGCACCATACTAACAGCACCATTCGGCCCATTGCTACTATTTGGATCTGAAACTCCAGCATGTATAGGCATTTTTGGGCACATTACACTTGCATGACCATACATGCCACAAGTCAAGCAAATGTCAGGCAAATTCTCGTATTCCACCTTTGTGTAATAATTTTACAATCATGGTATTGGTATTGTAAAATTATTACACAAAGGCTTAGTAAGATCAAGTTGTACCGCCAAACGAGCATTTACCCCTAGTTGCATAACCTTCCAATATTTAAACCCTACATATTTTATTCTCCTAAAAATATCACATAACTACGCTATACCCCACATAAACCCTCCATTTGTTTTCCCTCTCAAGATATCTACTTTGAACATTCTATACTGGCTCAATAGTCCTAGACGCTAAAAGATGTAAACATTAATCAATCATTTTTAATAATCATTTTAATAATTTCTTTTATTGTACTGTTTTATACTGATCTAATAACAAATACATGTACATTTTTCATTGTCACATACGCGTTTCGATATCTATTCCTTAGTCCTTACGATTTATTACATCCAACCTTATAAAGTCAACCATACTCGGCCTTTGGACTAATAAATTAATAACTCCTTCAAGAAATGCTTACCAAAAACCTCATCATAAAACCCACTGAACACATGGATCCTACCAAATACTAATACCAATCCAAAGCCGTAGGAGATTCATCCCCCAAAACAAAACGATTCCCATGGATCGTTCAGACTGCTTGGAATCTTCTTTATCTGCATGTTCATCGACATCGTCATCGTCAGGATCCTTAGTAGTACCTTCCATGCAAAGCATAAAGGGTAGTTCGAGAACCAACAACTGGACCGGGAAACGCTTACAAACCGGTTGCAGCGTGGAGGAGATCACGGTCGGAAACGTTACGGTCCGGGCACCGTTCAAGAACGGGAAATATGGAGTGCAGAAAATACTTCACAATTGGTATAAGGCCAAAGAGACATCGGTTCAGGTTATAGTCCGGAGGAGTTCCGATGAAGTTGCTGAGCTTCAGGCTTGTATTGTTCCAAATGAATCGGCGGGTAGGAAGCAATATATTCTTCGTGCAATCGACGACCCGAATAACGTGATTGGGTTTGTTGATCGGCCGGAGAGTGAATTTTTGAAGCTCCAAGGTACGTTTTGCGTTCGGTATGACTTTACTTTTGTTGGAAAATTTGACTTTTTCTTGTCCCTCGTCTTCGAATAATTTAAAGTTGGCTGACTCGGACAAATTAGGTAGACTCCCCGCGGAAAAATAAATTAGAAAAACTGAAAGCAGAAAAGGACCAGAGTTATTATAATAGATTCATTAAAAATTGTTGGCTTTACAAGTATAAATAGTGACTAATTAAGTATTAGACAATAATAGAGGAAAAAAACCAAGAAATCTTATAAAGACTTTATCAATCTTATTATTTGTGGATTAATATATAGTTATTTTTTGATAAAACGGTACGTATAAATATTTTGAACATGAGTTGAGATGAGCTGAATTATGGGTTAAGTTCGAAATTAAGAGAAACTCAATCTTGACAACCAATAACTACAAGAGGCTCGATAAACTTTTTCCGTTCGTTATATTGTTTTTGTTAAATAAATGAAATTTTTTTCTTAGAACGGAAGGATATATTGATGAAATTAAAGTTGGATAATATCTCTACCAAGATGGTTAACGTTTCATTTTGAGTATGTATACAAGGGAGGTCTTGCATATTTTGATGATCCTAAATTTTATTAATATCATTTAGGATTCAATGACTCTATCCAGCAAGGAAGGACTTATGGTGACGGCATCTCTCAGCCAACACGCGCATTGACGACTTTGGGACAACTCCTACGCCACTTTGGCATTAGTACCATATTCTTCCTAATCAACATCTATTTCTATTTGATTGAGTCGGCTACGTCATTCACTTGCCCAAATAACCCATTTCTGAAATTAGGTACGTACGCATAAAATAGTTTTTTTTTTTTGAATACGTATAAAATAGTTAATCATCTCTTAAAATGATTATTTTTAATCAGTTAGAAGAGACAGCATTTCATATAAATGGTACATTTTATAAGGCGTATACTCCCCCCGTCCCATAATTATTGTCCAGTTTGAGTTTTTATTTATAGTTCAAATTGTACTAAAAGTGAAATCTCAAACTGGACAATAATTTTGGGACAGAGCGAGTATGATTTTAATCTAATCTCAATTTAAAATTGTATCTTCTTATAAATAGAAGAATGGGAGGAATTCAAATTTAATTGCAATATCTTTATCCTTGAATGGTTGTTATTAAAATATAAATTCTACGAACTTTTGCAGCTTCAAGGACTTGCGATGCCCCAACGAGCCCCTCCGTAGTCATGAAGGTTGCCTTTTAGTTAGTTTCTGTCGCCTTGTCTTCACTTCTTTACATGGAATGAGTAGTTTCCAAAGGGTACAATGAAACCTGTTGATTTACATGTTTCGGTTCTCTTATTAACTCTTAGCACATATATTACCGTGCCCAAATGACCCTCTTACTCTAGTTCCACCGACTTATTTCTCCTGCATGTGAGTAAATCATTGCTGAATTTCGCGAGATTTGTAGATACTGTTAGGTTCCATATTGTCATGACTAGTTTGGAACATCCACGAAGAATTACATTAAATTACGAATAATAATAGGCATCGCTAAGAAACTCGATTCATTATTATAGATAAACTCCTCGGCATTGGATCAAGATATCTACAATCACAGGAGAGAATGTGCAGAGAAGGATGAGACCATAAAGGAGTTGTCTAATTCTTTACATTCATTAACACTTTTTGGCTCCAAGGTAAGGATGGTTCTAGCTAGCAATTTTTACAAGGGTAGCTAACAAAATAATATGCATAATTATGCCACATTGTGGTTTAAATTTCATCCATATTTTAGAGAATTCGAGAGTTGGAAGACCTAATTCGCAAGAAGAATACAATCATCAAAAAACTTAAGAAGGATATGATGCTTCTTCAACAGAAGGTGAGTAATTCTATGAGCACCGAATTAAAATGGGGAGTTGATAGAACAAATCAATGTCACAAATGAATTCTTTTTCTCTAATATCTATGACGATGTCATTGTCTTTGTATAGGAGTACAACCTCACAAGACCGCGTCGTCCCACCATCGCAACTGCAATGTCAAATGAGAGACAGCTTCCAATCATGGCAGATAACCCCCTCTACTCTATGGATAATAGCCATTTGTCCTCAGATTCAGAAAGCCTTTCTGGAAATGAACGAGACCCTACTTCTATTAATCAACAGCATCCGTTTCGCGAAAGTCAGGGCTGTGTACAAAAAGCCAAAAAAATTAGACAGTTTGCTGGAAACCCTAATGATCATCGGGGGAAACCAACAAATAGCAACCAAAAGTTTCCAACTCCAAATTCTTTGAAGGAAAAATCATTAAATGTGACGACCAATGTGGATTCTGGTTCAAGGCGACTTACGGCTTCATTGATCGGTGATTCTGGGAATACGGGATGGGCTCCAGTCAAATCTAAGGATGCAAGTACTCAGAAACAAAAAAGATGGGTTTAATAGGTATCATATCTTTGTTAGCCAGAATGTCTATTTTGCATTGATTCTTATATTCGGGTACACATATAGACTAGGAGAGGAAGGCTTTATCTGTTTTTATGATCTCTTTAATAGCTCAATATGACAAAATTTACTCCAAAATTCTAGCATTTCTGAAATAGACAAGTTTTGATTTAAAATATCAGAGTCTATTTAAGTAATTAACGATTATTAATTTATTAAGACTATACACAATTCCGAAACAATTATGAAGTAGTGATGATCCTGTCCATAAAATCTCAATACGATAGCAACAAGAATTATATTTCGACAACTACTATCACTATAGAGCAAGTACATCTTCACACTGTGTTGTACTACATGATAAGCTTCCACCTGGAACTCTATAATGTGGTATAATTCACTCCACTTTTGCTTGTTTTCGCCGGTTGGGGGAGAGGGGGAGGATAAAACAAAGTCTTAAATGAAGTGCCTTTTACTTAGTTTGGAATACTTCGCTGAAATATTGAATATTCCCTCTGTTTCAAAATAAATGTCTAGTTCGAAATTTCATATTAATATGAAATGTACTAAAAGTTATCTTCTATATAACTTAATAAAAGAAAACCCAAAGAGAGAAAACTGAGAATGTTTTCTAATTAATCCTATGTGTCAATATTCTCCATTTTTTATTTATTAAAAAGGTAAAAAAAATATTACCTTGAATAACCACACAATTCTATGAAGTAACTATCCGGTAGAAACTTCTGCTCAAAATACTCCAGAGCAAATCTTAACCAATCTTAACCAATCTTACTCAAATATTCAATATACAACCAAAAAAAAAAAAAACACCGTGAAAAGATAAATCATTTAAAACTAAATTTTATCAAATCATCTGCGCAAGTTGTTTCTGTTAATGCTTTTGTCACTCCTAATCTCTAGCAAATAAAAGCAAAATCCAAATACCATCTGATTTTTGCATTTGATTGACTAAACTCGGTGCTATTATCTTTCTACATTCCTTTATTACAATTCTTTCTCCACCGGGAAGAAGAGAATATGGAGGCTTTGTCTCCGGAGGAAATTTCCGATTGGGATTTTTCTTTCGGCTTTTTAGAAAACATTCCCGGCAGCACCTTCCAAATATTGAGCCCGGTTTTGATCAACCCCACCACCACAACAATATCGAAGCATTCTGCAATTTAACCAACGATGGATTTGAGAGTTAAGCAACTACGTACATGAGAAAGGTTGTTCGAGAGAAATAAGAGCCCTAACTAATTATTCCAAAGCTTACAATTCGGAGTAAATACGAAGAGATAAATCGAATGGTAGGTTTCAAGAATTAATTTTATCTAATGCGTGGTATGATTTTTTTCTAGATTATCCCTTTTCAAGTTGTGTAAGACCACTATTCAACTATCTGTATGGTTTATTTTCCTCAAAATAGTTGATTTTTATCAAAACTCATTTCTGTTGTCTGATAATATATTTTTTCCTCCTTTTTTTTGGGTTTTTGTATATTCTAATTTTCTTATTAGTAATTTTGCTTACTTATAAATGGTTGTTTCATTGACCACTATATTTATTTAGGATTTATCGTGTGATAAATGGCCTAAACAGGCCAAACAAATGTGGTTTCTTACGAAATTTTACGCAATTGGTATTGCTGTCATAATTTCACCTTCAAACCATTTCATCTTTCCCCTAAGTTGCAGGTATACAAGATCTTTTATTTTTTATCATGTACATTGATTTCTTTTTTTTTTTGGTCAGAGAAATTGGTGATGCGTTATCGCGGTTGAGAGGCTAATGTTTGTATTACTCAACCGACATTATCGCTTCCACTTCGTCCACCGCTGCTATAATCATGAGTAATGTGATTTGAACATTTTAGCTATTAGTACTACGTTACTTGATTGGGATAAAAACTACATATACATCTCCGAGCTGTACGATTGCACGCATTCGATGTTGTTTTTCGTTCATATTTTTTATATTATTATTTTATTGTTTTCCTCAACAATGATGAAGCAAATGAAATAGTAAAAAACCTAAATGTTAATACAAACAGTTCTACGTTCCGGAAAACTATTTGAATAATTAAAACACAAAACAGATGGCTTATGTCAAATCAACAAAGCTCTCTCTGGGTGGCCTCTCCCCATAGTTGTTAGTTACATTATTTTTCCAGTTATAAACCGTTTCCCACAACTTCTAAGATTTTCCTTTTAATTTCAATTTATTTGCTTTTTTATGGTGGTGCATTGCCTCTATATTTATATTTAAATCATGTTTTTTGACCAATTAAGTATAGTAGGTGTATGGTAAACCCTAGGTTGGCCATGAAAATAGATTATACAAATTGTAAATTAAGATAATGACAACTCGGCGGGAATTATAAGTAAGTAAGGTTTGATGTCACGTAGACAACATTTTAGAGTTTGACTTTATCGACGGTAATGTTCTACCAAGGGAGAAGGTGCCGACGGTGACGAAAATGTCGAATGAGGGTTACGGTGAGTGGATGCATTTTCCTCAGAAGGTAAGGCCCTCAATGCAGCGTGATTCCAGGGATTCTGATAGGCTTGCCAAAAGTTCGAAACCCAATCAAGGTTCAGGATCTCGTTTTGATTTGTTAATTAATGAAGAGAGTGGTCCCGATTTGAATTTTCAATTCAGGGCTCCATCTGGGGCGGGAGAGGAGCTGAATAAGGGACCGATTCCATTGAGTGGTAAGGGTAAGGAGAAAATGAATTGGCGGGAGACAGGGCAAGGGAAGTCCAGGAAAGGAAAGAAAAATGACATGGATCCAGAGAAGTCTGGGGGATTGGGTGAGTCTACCCAATTGACGACGACGGTTGCCTTTTCCTTGGATAATCAGCAAGGAAATAAGGATGATGGGTTGGTTGATATGGTCCATGGAATAGATCAGACTTCTACCCGAAATCATGGGTTTGCGACCACGATTTTGACCCAACAGGATCGCATTATGGTGGCGGAGTTGATTGGTCTTGACCCTTCTAAGCATCAGGCTGTCTTTGTGAGAGATAGTCCAGTGTTAGAACCTAACGGAGTTGTATCTTCGTTTCCACACGAGCCTGGGGAGGAGGGGTCTATGTGTGTTGACCTCGGGGATACCTCGACTCCGATGGTATCTTTGCCAAAGGAACCGCCGGACGAAGGTGTTTGATTGATTGAACCACAAGGGGAGGTGGTGGACATGGAGGACGATGTGAGGCTGGACTCACAAGTCCTGCGTAGCATCTGATACGGGTTACCCTTTGCTTCTGTGTGTTTATTAATGAATATAATCACTTGGAGTGTACAAGGAGCGGCGTCGAAGGAACTTCAACTCGCCTTTTTAACACTTAAAACCCAATATAACCCCGATGTCGTAGCAGTTTTGGAACCACGTATTAGTGGTGGGAAGGCGGATGATTTTGTTCGGATGAGTGGTTTTGATCGCTCGTTTAGGGTGGAGGCAGTTGGATTCAAGGGCGGTATTTGGGTTTTGTGGAAGGAAAGGGTGAAACTTTCAGTGTTGATATGTGATAAGCAATACGTACATGTATCTGTAAAGATGGATCGCGAAAATTTTTTGGTGACTTTTGTCTATGCAAGCCCTAACCCAACCATTAGACGATCTCTTTGGGAGGGTTTGAATGCTATTGCGCAGGGTATAAGGGAGCTGTGGATTGTGGGTGGTGATTTTAATTGCCTCCTTCGGGTGTCGGAGAAACAAGGTGGCTCTTTGAGTAACTGGAATGTGAGTTCGGCGTTTTCGGATCTTCTATTTAAGAATGATCTCCACGAACTCCAAACAGATGGTGCACCATTTACATGGGCGCGCCCGGGGATAGCAGAGAAACTTGACCGTATTATCGGTAATGTGGCGTGGATGGACCGATTTCAGGAGGGAATGGTGGAGCTGTTACCACGAACACAATCTGATCACTCGCCTCTTATGGTTCGGTGTGGAAAGCGGGGAAGTCATGCTGGCGGGATGAAAACTCTTTGTCGCGGCCTGGTTTTTACACACTGGATTCCCCGACCTGGTGAAGCATGTTTGGAGCCAAGGTGGTGATTATACGCATTTGGCTGCCTCTTTTGCTGAAAAAGCTCGGGTGTGGAATACTCATATTTTTGGAAACATTTTCCAGTGCAAGAAGAGGCTCTTGGCGAGGATTCGAGGGTATTCAAAGATCCCGCAATTTTTATGTAACTAATAAGCTTGTGTTAGTTGAAAAACAGTTACGATTAGAGCTGGACGAGTTGATGTTACATGAGGAGATTTTAATGCTTAAAAAATCTCAACGGGATTGGATACTACTTGGAGAGAGGAATACATCATACTATCACTGCAAAGTCAAGAGTCGTCGCAGTCGGAATAGAATTGTTTCACTACGGACTGATGATGATCGGCTTGTTTTTGATGAAGTGGAGTTGCGGACAATTGCGATGAAGTATTTTGAAAAAATATATCCAGATGAGGCGAATATATATAATCACTCCTGCTATGCGACCATATTCCTATCCTGAGGTTGATCCAGTTCGTATGGAGCTGATTGGAAGGGAACTCTTGGATACAGAAATTTTCAATGCTTTGAAAATGATGGCTCCGTTAAAAGCTCCGAGAATTGATGGACTTCATGCTATATTTTTCCAGCGAAATTGGGAAACAGTTGGACCTTCTGTTTGTAGTTTGATTCGAGGCATGTGGAATGGAGGACCGATGCCGAATGAATTGAATAAAACGTTAATTGTTCTTATTCCTAAGGTTGACTGCCCGACCTGAATTAAACAATTCAGGCCAATTAGTTTATTAAACGTGGTCTACAAACTGATGACGAAAGTTCTAGCAGAGAGAATGAAGGAAGTTTTACCTCGACTAATTGGTCCAGCCCAATCGAGCTTTTTCCTGGGGCGTCAAATCACCGATAATATTGTCATTGCCCAGGAACTCATCCACTCAATGCGGGCTATGAAAAATAAGACATGTGTTATGGTGGTTAAGGTGGACTTAGAGAAGGCATACGACTATTTGAGTTGGAATTTTGTGGAGGAGTCACTTCAGCTAGCAAAGTTCCCGCCCCAATTCATTAATGTTGTTTCCAAATGCGTTCGGTTGGCGACGATGCAGTTGTTATGGAATGGGAGTATTTGTGATGAATTTTTCCTGTCGAGAGGAGTACGGCAAGGGGATCCCATATCCCCTTACCTCTTTGTTTTGTGCATTGAGTGGCTAGCGCATCTGATTGATGAGGCGGTGGAGAGTCGTGAATGGAAGCCGATTTTGTTGGGACAAGGATCGGTCAAAATACCATACTTAATGTTTGCGAACGATCTTTTATTATTCATTGAGGCATCTCAAGATCAATGTCACGTGCTCAAGTCAGTTTCGGATCATTTCTGTATGGCTTCTGGGATGAAAGTGAGTGAGGTGAAAACTCAGTTATTTTTTTCAAAAAATGTTGCCCCGGAGTTAAGGAGCTCTTTGGCAGCGGGGATGGGCTTTAAAGAGGTGGACGACTTGGGTTGTTACCTGGGTATGCCAATTTCACACGGCCGGATTAACAAACAAACCTATGCTGGGATTTTGGAGAGGGCCGAAAGTCGACTAACGGGATGGAAAGCCAAATCATTGTCAATGGCGGGAAGAGTAGTACTCACTGAATCGATCCTTAGCTGCTTACAATATTATGCCATGCAACCGGTGCTTCTTCCGGCATCGATTTGTGATGGTCTCGAGCAAAAGTGTCGACGCTTTATTTGGGGTAGCACGGTGGATCAACACAAAATGAGTCTTGTTTCATGGGATGATGTGTGTCGACCCAAGATGGAGGGTGGATTGGGTTTGAAGGATTTGAGATGGATGAACAAAGCACTCCTAATGAAAATGGCATGGGGTTTGTTAACGAAGCAAGAGTCATTGTGGGTTAGAGTGTTAAAGGCTAAATACGGATTTGATCCGTTACAATTGACGACGGAGTTTTCATTTCCGGCAGGCTCTGTGAAGGCGGTGTGGCAGCATGTTGTTGATGGCATAAGGTGGGCGGTTGGTGATGGGAAACGTGTCCATTCTGGTGGGATAGATGGCTGCATTTTGACGAACCATTGGTATCTTTTGCTAGATCACCAATTCCTGAAGCTTTGCTCAATGCTACAGTTTTGGATTTCGTGAATATTGATGGACAATGGTGTTGGTCAAAATTTGAAGGGTTGCTGCCGGCGACATGTTTGTTATAAATTGCAGCAGTGAAGGCTCCTGTGCAAGGTGCTGCGGAGGATCGGATGTACTGGGGCTTCTCGGAGGATGGGAAGCTTTCGACACGATCGGCTTATATGTCTTTGTCTCCATCTCAAACACTGAACAATAGCCAATTGTGGAGATTGATATGGAATTGGACAGGACCTCAACGTGTTCGTAATTTTCTTTGGCTTGCTACGAAGGAGAGGTTGTTGACGAATGATGAACTTTTTCGTCCTCATATTTTTGATGTTTCGAATTGCCAGTTCTGTGGAGCCATTCGGGAGACGGTTATGCACGTACTTCGCGACTATCCAGCTGCGAAGAAAATTTGGCTTCGTTTGGTGCCCGGAGATAGAAGACAAATTTTCTTTAATTTACAGCTGGAGGATTGGCTATGGCATAACTTAAACAGAAAATCTGAAGGTTTTGTCGAAGACTGGGATTGTTTTTTCGGAGTTACAGCTTGGCGAATATGGAGCTGGAGAAATCGGCGGACTTTTGAAGGTGTTGATGGGAGTGATGCGAAGAGAGTGGATGAGATTGTGAAGTTTGTTGGGGGTATACAACAGGCTTCTGTTCATGAAAAAACAATGCGAGGAGTTTGTAGGGGATGGGAGGAAAGAATGATTCGATGGCTTCCACCGCCGGTTGACTGGGTAAAGATAAATTCCGATGGCAGTTTTAATATGTATAATGGGGTGGGATGTGCTGGTGGAGTTGTGCGGGATTGCCATGATAGACGGCTAGGCGGGTTCATGATGAAGGTAGGATTTTGTACCATCACAGGTTCGGAACTTTGGGGTCTGTTTCAAGCCTTGCAGCTAGCATGGGATCTTGGATATAAGAAGGTGAAGGCGGAAGTGGATAATTCAAGCATTTTACTTATGGTGAAAGGGAATGCTGGCATTTTTGGAGTCCATACGGGGATTGTATACGGGATTCGGGAACTGCTGCATCGGGATTGGACTGTGGAGCTTGATCATGTGTTTCGTGAAGCTAATTTCGTAGCTGATTACTTAGCCTCCCTAGCTACCCTTGGTCCAGTTGGATTACAGGGGTTTGATGTACCGCCGTCAGGCGTTAGGCCATGGCTACAACATGATATAATAGGGGTCTCATACCCCCGAAATGTAAGACTCTAGGTCTTCGGCCTCCTCTATTGTAACAAAGAAAAAAAAAGAGTTTGACTTTATCTCACTTCTTTTATAATGTAAGGTTCTTGATTATTGTAATTAAACTTTATTAAAATGTTTTATTTATTTCTTAATTGCCGGTGAACCACTTCTCAATTTGGAAAACTGTTAACTTGAATTTTCTTGAATATCTTTTTTCGGTAAAGCTGGGGCTTTTTGAAATAATAATTATCATTCTTTTTGTCAGAATGACGAAAGACATGAACTATCATCCACTAAGTGTTCTATATTTTGATGCGAACATGCAGAAAATTTTGCCCCATTATGATGAAGATGCTTAATGAATGGATCTGGGTTTCAATATAAATTTTTGACCTTTTGAATAAGTTAGTTTGATGTTTGTCTTTTACTTTTGAATCGTTACTTTGGGCTTTGCCTTTGATGATTTGGTATTGTACAATAATGGACATATAGTATGGATGTACGATATACGATTTCTATGTATTAAGGGAAAGCCAGTATTAAAGTTGATAGAGTTAGTCGGTTCCTAAGCATTACTACATATTATTATTACTTTGTGATGTTTTTAGTATATTTAACGATACTTACTATCAGTAATTTGATATATGCAATCATTTCGAGACAACTGCAATATTTCGCTTCGGGGGATAACCATACAAGTATTTTGGTGTATCTTGGAAAAATGAAAAATCACTCTAAAATTGATTACTCTAAAATCACTCTAATATATATATATATATATATATATATATATATATATTCTCATTATCACCCAATTTGCATACAAAGGCATGTCTCTATTAAATTTGAATTGTCAGCGATGAAAATAAATAAATACTTGCTCCGTCCCAAAATTATTGTCTAGTTTAAATTTCCGTTCTTAGTATAATTTATACTAACGTAAAAAGTACTAACTGAATAATAATTTTGGGACGGAGGGAGTGCATAAATATGTATTGGCTTGATCAGAATAGTCAAAGAGCACCTTGTGTATAAACTCTTTATGTTCCAAAATGATTGTCCAGTTTAGAGTTTATTTATGATGTAATATGTACTAAAAATGAAAATCTAAAGTGAACAATCAATTTAGCACAGAGAGATCATTTTAATTAATGAACTTATCGTTATTCGTTTTATAATGTCTACTTATTACTTTACAGATAAAGTTAGACATACTATACATTTTGAAAAAAATGTGCTATGTATGTCTAATAGGATTAGCTTAAATAATGAATATTTTCATTCCCAACTCGAGGCCCGTACAAAAATAAATCAAAATGCATAAATTAATAAAGTAATAAAATTTCAAAAAATTCTTATATAAATATAGGTTCCCCTAGAAATCATAAATTAAAAATGATCTAAAATAAGAAAAAAAAAACTAAGAAAGCTTTGTGAAATTTAGTCGCCATTCGGTTTTATTTTTTATTGAGAAAATTTTATCTTTGATTTTCCCTCCAACTCATAAATGAATGGTCCAATCCATATATTAAAATACTGTATTAGGATCATAAATACATATGTGAAGTTTGGTTAGAGTTGAGTATTTGTCTTCTAATTATAGAAAAAAAGTATTTAAATTAATAAAATATTAATTTTATCAATAAAATAATAATCTCTATAAGTTAATTAATTTTTGTGAGCCCAAAATTATTGGAGTTTTTATTGTATTTCATGTTATGATCCCTCTCAAAGAAAATATATTAGAGTAGAATTTCTATAAATTAATAGGGTTGGGACCATCAAAATTTATTAGTTTAGAGAATTATTAAATAATTGATAAATTAATAAATTTTTAATTTAAAGAATTTATATGAGAAAAAGGAACCCTCACTAAATTATTTAATTTGCAATTGCCTTTACGTACAAATCAATCAAAAATTAAAACTTTTCTGAATACTAAAAATTCATACATAATTCAAATAATCTTTACGGACTAAAAAACAAGCATCAATGGTTTACATTTTACTCAATATTTATAGTTATTATAATTATTTTCTTAAATTTATGGTATTATTAATTTATAGTGTTGGTGGGACCTATAGGAGATTTTCTGAAACATTATTATCTTATCATTTGATCGATTTTTTTTTGTACTGGTCCCAATTGGGACCGGAGAAAATTATTAAATGTTTGAAGTTATTAATTTATAGATTATTAATTTACTGACGTTCTACTATATATTCATTTTACAATTATCACAACGAAAAAAAAAATATTAAAGACAAGGAAGTCAAACATATTTAGTTATATTTTACTAATAAACATTTTCAGTTTTTCCTTATTGTACAAATTTTAGATGAGACAAATGGAACATGTGATATGAGTTCTTAGTTTAAACATTTAGGGTTTTTAGTCAGTACAGTTCTTAATGAAATAAATAAATGGGAGCATTAATTTTTAATCGAAAATGAATTTACATATCATTATATATATTAAAGTAGAAAAATATAATCGACACGTGTCGCTTATTGAGATCATCAAGTCTCACTTTCAACTTATTGTCATTTTAGCCCTTAAAGTTATATTTATCTGCTACTTAGTTTTCAAGTTTATCAATTTTATATTTTCAAGGACGGTTAATTGTGTCTAATTCCCAAAGTCCCTTTGCCTATAAATAAGCCATGGGCATCTAGACATAATTTATGTATTTTTTAAATATATTTTTTAATCCAAATATAACATTAGTTAGTGATGATAATTTTTATTATACAACTTTTGAAATTCTTTGTTGTAATATTTTTGACCAGATCTTACAAATATACATCTCATAAATAATAGCAATACCTCTCATTTTGATCTAAAATTGATTAATCAAAAAAATATTACGGTTTTTAGAAATATTAGCAACTACATTATCTAATTAATTCTTTTGGAAGATAAATTTTCAAAATTAACAAACCCGCGCAAAGCGCGGGACATATACTAGTTGTTATTAAAATAGTGGCAGTATTAGACTTGTGCTTTTCCAAGTAGAAGACGGGTTTACAAGGAGTTGCCGCCTTTGCACTCTCTCTATATATATCTAAAGATCCATTCAGATTCATTCATTCAGTCTGGAAAGTATCCAAAGCATAAATAATCCACTCTAGCACTCTTTTTATTTCCCATGTTTCTCTCTGTTTAAGGACGCACTGTTTTACGCTCTATTTACAAAGAAGGGAGAATGGGCCTTTTCCTCCCAAGGTTTGAGCCACACCATCCAAAACATCCCAAAGTTTAAGAGCATGCCATTTTCATCCCAAACATTTCAAACTATGTAATATTAGGATATCTGTTAAATTTTTTTAGTTAATTAACATTGATTTTCTATTCAGTTTCTTTTCCTCCAATGTCTTTTAGTCAAAAAAATTCCATGCTAGCGCTTGGTAAATTTGGTCCATGCCAAGCAAAGAAGTTGCATGCCCCTGCATCAAATTACAACACCAAGTTTTTACATTGATGCTACATATATATATTTTAAAAGTATGAAATAAGAACTTACTTACCAATTAGGACACCCCCAAAACCTCATGATTGTTGTTATCGAGATGGTGAATCTTGGAAATTTTTTTGTTAAGCATGAGAAGAACGAAGATGTGAAGACCAAATTGGATTTAATTATTTTTTATAAATTAGGAATTAGTGAAACCCGTTAAATGATTAAAAAACAATTTGGAGAATGGAAAATGAATAAAGTACCACCGTTAATTATATTAACTAAAAAATTTAACAAATATTTTAATATAGCATATTTTTTGAAAAATTTGGGATGTAAATGGCATGGACTTAAACTTTAGGATGTTTTGGATAGTGTGGCCCAAACTTTGAGATGAAAAGACCTATTTTCCCTTACAGAGAAGAAGGTAAAATATGGGTTATGGGAAAAAGAAAATCGAGATCAAGAAAATTGAGGAAAGATCATCCTGAAACATCACCTTCTCCAAAAGGAGACAAGGGTTATTTAAAAAAGTTCACAAATTGGAATCCATGAGCCGATTCAAAATTGCGATTCTCATCTTCTCGCCGGCTGGAAAACCCTTCTCCTATGGCGATACTGAGGCTGCAATAGAAACCCTCTTGAACTTTTGAGTAATCAGAATGTATCCGGAGTTGAAGCTAATCAGGCTAATGAAGTCTTAGATTTTCAGGATACATGATTCTATTTGTTTTTGTATAGCAATTGTATAGTTGATATTATAGTTTTGTTAATACAGGGACTGTCTTGTAAATACTTGATAGTTAGGGTATTTGACTTAGTCAATACGGTATATATATGAACAATGTACAGAATGAATGCATGATTTTGACAGAATTCGTGAATATACAATTTTTCCCCAATTGCTAGAACCCTAACTTCTACTTCTTCTCCAAGATGGTATTAGAGCAGGACTAGATCCTGCTCTGCCAGTCACTTCCGCATCCTTAAAATTAGCAGGTTTTGCTGCGCACACCTTGCTGAGTAACTGTACGGTTCAATTTCTTGAATCATACCTAGAAATCAAGAATCCAATGATGAAGACTACCAGAGAGTTCTGAGGGAGCGATTGCAATTCTTCGATCCAGATGACGAGTTGCAGCTCCATGGTTCGGAAACTCCTGATTCGGTAATAGTGAATTGTCCTTTGAATGGTAAGAATTACTTGATTTGGCGCAACGCCGTGGTTACTGCTTTAGAGTCAAAGAACAAGTTTGGTTTTGTAGATGGTACTTGTGAGATGCGTGATATTCATTCTCCTATCTTTAAGAAATGGAGAAGAGTTCATAGTATGGTATTACGTGGATTAAAAATGCTTTAGCACCAGAGATTGCTGTTGATTTTCAATTTGTGAATGATGCTAAGGAACTATGGGATGAATTAGCTCAGACATATGGATCTTGTAACTCTCCGATGGTTTTTGAATTAAAGCGTGATATTTCTATGATGAGACAAGGTGATTTGAGCATTCCATAGTATTACAATAAGCTAAGGCACCTCTGGGATCAATATGCACAGCTTAGGCCAATTT